GTGAGACCCTGAGCCTGGTCCGTGGGATAGCCAACAAATGAATTGAGCTGGGAAAATTCCGTGACGGTAGTTACGGGCGTGGCGAGCTTGAGGACAGCCACATCGCTGTAGAGACCCTGACGATCCTGTCCGTACTGTGGATGAATTTTGACACAAGAAGGTGCCACGGTTTCACCATCCGTCGTGCTAACGTGTCCTACCCGAATATTGGTCGGTAGAAAGATGGCCCCACTACGCGTGAAAAAGCAATGCGCCGCCGACAGGACTCTGTTGGGTGATATAAGTGTTGCCCCGCAGTAGATTTGACCGTTGTATTCCAGAGACACAAAGTAGGGATACACACCCGCCGACACTGGAAATACCAAAACGAGAAGAAAAACGAAAGCAAAGCGCAGCTTAGCATCAGTCAAAAAGACGTAAACAGACAAGTACATCGTGCTGGATTTTGCTCACCTCTGGTTCCTCCCAGGATCTCATTCGCAGTTCCCACAGGGAGAATATAATCATAATCTTCAGGGAGCTCGGTTTGGAACCAAAACGGGTCTTCAATTGTAACTTCTTGCTCCCTTCGAAGATTCTGCTGTTGTTCTTCTGCTTGCTGTTCTTCAGTCTCCGCAGCCAAGGTCGTGGTTGCGGTAAGGAGAAGAACGAGCCATGCGGCCGTCCATGGGAATGTTGACATCATCTTTGTTTGTTTTCGAAATTTCAAATGAATGAATGGGCTAGCTTTTGTCAATGAAACTGAATGTGTGGATCCCCTGCATTGCATTAATGGCAACTGACAAGGCCAAAAGCAGCAGGTCGGGTTTATTCGCAAGCAGCAAAGTCCCTTCCAACCAGTCCAGGAAGGTAACGTCCAACGCTAAGGTGCCTTTAGGTGCGATACTGAACTCGACAGCTTCCCCAGCTATATTTCCGTGTTATTACGTCGTTGTCCCATGAGGGCAAGTTCAACGCCACGAGGTGCTCGAACGAGGCGTTCCAAAGTGTGAATAGATTTCCGAGGGTGGTCGCGAATGGTCACCGTGGGCTATCACTCCTGCACGCCTGGGAGCTACCTGTAGCCTGAACCCAATTGACTGCTTAGAACCTTAATGAAGCTTTATGAGTAACCCTAAGACGTATCCAACATCAAGCAAAACTCACTGCTCACAAGGCTGGTTCTTGGTATAGTGAGCCATGTCTGTGTCTCTGAGTCCGTCTGTTTCGGCATGTAAAGGAGACGAAGAGGAGGAAGATGATGCGTGCAACTTTGTGGTGATGAGTGACGCTGGCAAGCCGATCTACTATTCGCGTGGAAGAGAAGAAGAAATCAGTCGTTTGTGTGGCCTCGTCTTGGCACTGCGATCGTCGGCCCAAAGCAGCTTAGGCCAATCCATTCGGTCCATTAGTACGGGAGGTACACGGCCAAAATCGATCGTTTTCATGTCCATGGGATCTTTGGTTCTGCTTGCTATTAGTAGTAACTCCACCAATAACAGAAGGATCCCCGCCAAGGGTGGCATTTCCCCCTCCAATAAGGGTATGTGCATGCACGGCTCAGCTAATAAGGCTACTGAGTGGTTTCTGCAGTTGCAACTAGAGTACATTCTGGGTTTCATTCTCTCGGCAGTGACAGAGAGAATCCAAGAACAGTTCAACCTAGATCCCAGTTATGATCTGCGAGAAGCCATCCTGCCCACTATGAACACCAACGACACTGAAGAGGCGTCATGCAGCCTGACAACTACCATTACTACGGGACTGTTCCACGACGACTTTGATGGTAACGACACCAACTGTCCAGGGCCGTATTGCCTGGGTGCTGTCGAAACCCTCTTTCCCATTTCACCCAATATTCGATCCCGAGCCTCCACCGTTCTCCAAACAGTGGGTCTTCAAACCGACTTTACCGCCTTTGCCATTCTCGCAGTGGGACAAAAGCTACTCACGTTGATACAACCATCGGCACCTCAATATCAGCTACATGTCTTTGACCTGCACGTGCTACTGAGAATTGTCAGTGCCCGACAAGGTCAAGTCTCCGACAATAAGGAAGAAAAGGAACTGTGGATACCCCTTTGTCTGCCCTTCTTCTCTTCTACAGATTATCTATTCTGCTACGCGGAGTGTCTGGATTCCACCTCCAACCTGGCTCTGATTCTCCTCAGCAACCAAGGGAACGCACGGCAATTGCAGCTATTTCAAACGGCGGCCGGGGACATACGAAAGGCCCTTGGGATACCACCATCTTCGGCTGCTTCCTCGCAACAGCAACAGCAACAGCAGCAACAACATAAAATGCAACCAGGAACGACGACAGAGGACTACTGGAATGACCAAGACTACGTCGATGTCTCGCTTGGAGATCATCAACAACAACAACCTCTTGCCGACAGGATGCTACCGGTACCCAATGAGGGCAACTTTTTTGTGCCAGAAATCCAAATGACGATTCGTCAATCCGAGACGCTACAAATCGAGCACTATCTTGGCATTGCATCGGTATTCCATTTTCTATTTCGACTCGAGGTTCCCATTGGCAGCTTTCAAAAGAGTAATAACCGTGATGGCGAGGCACCCAACAACAGCCAGAAGCTGGCGCAATGTCTCTCGCCACCCTTGAACAAATTCCCCTTTGTGGATGCGCGGTCAAGACGAAGAGTTTGGAGAATGTACCAAACGTTACGATGGCGACTATTGAATCGAGAAAGCAATCAACCTAGAAGTAATAATGGCATGGTAACGACGGGGATGGAACGTCATTGTCCTGCCGTCGCATTGGCAGCGAGCTCCGTTATTACAACGGGCACAACGTTACCCTGCTACATTGTGGATGGATCCGAACTGTTCCTTGCCATGAATGGCAGTGGATACGAATTGTAAGTCGAACTGACAGTGCAAGCACCATCACGGTGCGAAGAGTTCCTTGACTAACCACTCGTTGTACGACCAGCTATGCCGTTCTACCAAGCACCACCTCAATCCGAGAAGCTGAAGCTTCGGCGACCAAACTATTGCGACGTCTCGTGGCCGACCAAAAGAGCCTTTTCCTCACCAAGCCAATGTGCTGGGACGATTGATGCAATACAATTTGCAGTGGTGGTCGACAGACTTCCTAAAAAGACGAAGCATAACCAATGGCGGCTGTCCGAAATGTTGCACATCCCGTTTGAATTGGATTGGGGAAGCAGGCCTTACTGTTGTGCTATCGATTCTTTGGTGCAAGTCCAAGTTCTCTCAAGGATCCTTGTACCCGGCGGAGACTTTGGACCAACGCTTGTCTCGATGCTTACCAAGGCGAACGGCGTGGGATTGCGAAGAGGAGATTCCTCGATCGTTCTCGCCGATGCGAGGGCGTCTCGCTGCGTAGGGGTCTTGGTAGCATTTATCAGTCAAATATATGATGTGCATGTGGTCGACGTGATTGCTACCGCCAAATTTAAACTGCGGTTGTCAACACCACGACAATCATGACTATCCCGACAGCGGCAGATGAGCCGTTCCGATTAAAAATTGACGAATAGCCGCTACCATTGGGATGCCTACAGCTCGAGAAAGGCTGCCTATTCTCTTCAGCATGCAGTTTCTGCTTCTATAGAAAGCATAAGCTTTATGGCCGAAGATTCTGCGCATCCCAGATTCTCTTTTTTGGAACGATGCCCAAGCGGGCTATGCCACCATCGAATGCCCTTGTGATGACAATGCTCCTGTCACCGTGCCAGCTGACCCTCTGCCCGCCCTACAACATATCATACCAGATACCCTACGGTGCTGCTTCGCCACCCCCATGGCCAAGCAAAGGACCCTCTTCCAGCCCTACAGCACCTCCAACAAAAAGTCCTACGGCTACGCCAACGTCACCCAGCGATGCACCCACAGCCACATGACCCTAGGGCCAGTCCAACCGAAGAGACCATTCCCTATCCCAGCTGCTCCTCCAAGCCAAGATACAGGTGCCATCACTGGGTTGCTCACAACATCCCCAAGTTCCACCAGCTTGGACTCACAAGTTGTGGGAACTTCAGTTCCAGGAGATGAGCTTGGTGCCATGCTTTGGTCATCCCTCACTCAATCCTCAACAGAAGCCCTCATACATCTTCAACGGAAGCAGAAGTAACCTCTTGACAATACAAGTCTTGTGGCCCTGTCACAAAGTCTCCATCAGCAGCACCAACGCCAAAAACCAGCAACAAACCGTGGCTTTGCTTAAACTCATGCAAGGGGTCCGTCTTTCCCTCCTGTATTGATTGGCTATGAGTAATGCACTACCTCCGAATGAACTCGGATCCTGGTTTGCCCAAACTGGCTGCGCACGAACCAAATGAGGTATTACAAGATGACTTGCAAGAAGCTGCTGAAGAAGAAAGTGCAGATCATACTGCAGCATCTGCTCTCCCGATCAACACACGCCAATCAGCTATAATCTCTGAAACCCGAGTCCATCCTAAAGTTCTCTCACGCATCTTCTGGGCTTTTGCCATTGACGCTTTGGTGTCAATCTTGATGCTCCAGTAACCATATGAAAAACAGTTCATTTTCTTTTTAAAAGCTAGAACATAAGACATCGGTACTCATACAACGTCCAAATCTGTGAGAGTTCATCATTTGGTTCAAAGCCAAGCCAGTCCCATGGCCAAAACCCCAACAGTTACGGTTACACCTCCAAACAAGGAGGCTCCAGCCGACGCTTGCCCCTCATCATTCGTTCCGTTTTCAACCACGGAGTCAACTGGTTCGTTTCCATCACTGGGAGTTGTCGTGTCTTGTCCTCCTGTTGTGGGTGGAGCCTCCGTGGTGGCTGGTTCTTCACTAGCTGGATCGTTAGTAGTGATCTCTTCCTCTGTCGTGGTTGTATTCGTGTTCACGGGTTCATCAAAGTCCGCATCATGGGTCAGTTGACTATGACTGTTGTCAACGGCACAGTCGCCTTCTCCCACACAAGCAGGGTTGGCGCAATCTGAGCAGTCCTCAGGTTGAAGGAGACGGCTCCTCGTTCTATTGCCACCGCTCTTGGTGCTGTCTCCAAGACCTTCCACGGTCAAATACACCGCCGGGCAGGAATTGACCGGAGCTGGCTGGCATGCAGCTCCACCATTGCTGCACTCATTGTTGGAATCCAAATTGTAAAAGGTGAATTTGTCTGCCGTGTTGGTTCCGGGAGCAAACAAAATGACCACAGCGTTTACATCCTCATCGGGCACAGCATCGTCAGGACGGTCCAAGAACTCGAATACAATGTGTTGCTGGTTGCCGTCTTCAGGGATGGTGGCCAAGTAACGGCTGTGGCGATTCTTGGGGTAGGGTTGAATGAGGTCGGGGTCGAGTTGCTTGCTAACGAGGGCACTTTCCGAAACGGGAACGTGCTCAAACTGAAGAATGATCTGTGTACAAGGAGGGGCCGTTGTATCCGAGATTTTCATAGAGAACTTCTTGTCACCAGTGACATAGGCACCCGCATCAGGGACGTTTCCAGTAAGATAGAGAAGATCATACAAAACATCGGGGTTGCGCGTGTACTCGATCTGACGAATATGAGTATAGGCCCCAACATTGCGCCCGCTGCCAGTTGACAGCCAGTAGCTGGGAGATGCAGGAAAAAGTGAATGGTGAGGTTTATGCTGCCATTGTGACGGCCCTGATCCACAATTTCCTTCGCTTACCTGCCAACATCTGTTCCTCTGGCATGGGCATAGTAGGTATATTCATATTCATATCCTCCATCGCCATCCATGAGACAGCAGTACAAAAAGGTGCCATCAGCTGTGGGACAGCAAGCTCCTGCGAAAAATTCGTCCCAAACAAAGGATTGGTGAGGAATTGGCCACAGACGAGTAAGGGTTCTTGTGTCTCATACCGGTAGATACGTACCAGTTAATCCCACACAGGCGCTATTTGCATCGCACGCGGATTCCTTGTTATCACAGCAATCTAGGAAAATACCAGCCAAGTTGGTGGGGCAGCAGTCGTCGGCCAACCCGAGAGCGGCGCATTGTGGATTGGCATTGCAAGTTCGAAGGTCTTGGGCCTGGACAGGACCGTAGAAGGCAACTGCCGGTAGCAGAGCAAGAGCGTAGGATCGGAACAGCATGGTGGAAGGCAGAGTTGTTTCAACAAACTAACTTGAAAGATTTTATGAGATCATGCAGTTGGATGCAATCGAAGTTGAGAGGACATCAACGTTTCAAGCATTTGATGGCATTGGTTCGGCTGGATTGGGGGAGTCAACGCACATGTTTTTCCGTGCGCGACCATACTGGTTCAGTACCAGTGACGGTTATCTAGAAATTTCAAAAGAATGCTACCGGAACAGTGATCTATCATGTGGATCTCTCTAACACGGAGGGAAACCTTATGAATGAGCCATTGAAAGGACCAGTATCGAAGTCGTGAGCCCATCACACGGAATGGTTGGATCCTTCTAAAGCTAATAAGCAATCGGCCGATGCCAATGCGGAAGTTGTCGCAGCGATACGGTATGGTACATGCACAGTAGACCCTATGAAGTACCGGTGCGATTTAGTTACGGCATCCAATTCAAGTACCAGTATCCTTTGTCATGTATGCATACCGGTACCCTGGAGTTGCCTCCACCCACACCTTTGGAGTCCAAACAGAAATAAATGACAAGACGGAGTGGGTCAGCTGAAAACATGGTTGTAGTCTTTGGGCTCTATAGCTACCGGCCTGTCTATACTAGTAGGCAAGGAAGCCACGATGCCGTACAATATGGAAGCATGTGATGCATGTAGCCAAGAGCATCTTGCCACAGTCAGAACCACCAGTAGATGTATCGGTACCATGAATCGGTGAGGAAGTTGAAAATACCTACATGTAAAACCCAGCATACTGTACATGTAGCAAAGGAAGACCCGACCCTGAGAATTGAGACGTGACAGACGTTAGATCAGAGGCTCAGCTGGCTTGAATTGAAATGCAATTGGTGCAACAGATCGGTTCCTCGCATCGTTCAGACGTTCAGACCTCGGCGATGGCTCCATGCCGAGAGTGCGAAGAGAAACTGAGCCCGAACGATCAAACCAACATACGGCAACCAAAGGCGTGCAACCAACGGGCATCATTGACGACAAAGGGAGGAAAGCATATGGGTTTGGAAGACTTTCTCATCTCAGAAACAACAGAGACCGGTCAAAGAGAGGAGCGAAGAAGTGTGAAGGGTGAGACTTAACTATCTAAAAATGAACAGGAGCGACGCCACAACCAGCCATGGGACAATGGGGCAGCAGCCAAGCGAGCAACCAACCAATCATCTGCTGTTGCGAGCGCCGAGATCATCGTTGCTTTCCCAATCCTCTGGGATGCATTGATACATGTATCAGCTCTAAGGGTCACTGTGACGGTACGGAGAGAAGGAACCGGCCAACAGAGAACCAACCAGGAAGCGCAGGCAAACCAACGGCCTTGACTTGAACAGGGAACCACTAGCAAGAGCCCGACCAAGAACAAAGAAGATGGGAAGATGTGACTTGGTCCGGGGCACGTGGAGATCCAAAGAAATGACAGGCACAATCAAGCAGACTTGACTCGAAAAAATATCAAGAAGGATCCAGGTGCAGCACGTGAACGAGTTCCAGTTCGAGAGCAAAAGGACCACCAGCGACCACAAGTGACCACCACCCAAGGAAATGACATTCGACGAGGAGACTTGAAGATGCAATCCTAAATAAAAGGAGAAGAAGGCAGGACGGTTTGTGAGCAGCCGTTTTCGAAAACTTGCACGAGAGAAGATGTTTCGATGAGACTCGAGTACGAACTACCGTCAACTATTGCCATGCGTGCATGCGAAGACTCGACTCGTGGACCGTACCTGTTGTTGATGAGACTCGAGCACCATTGCCAACGGCCAACAATGCATTGCACGAAGACGGACCACTTTAGATGAGACGACGATGAGAACGCAAACGATCAAAAGAGGATCGATGGACAAAAGAAACGATTGATCGACTTCCCTAAGAAAAGCAGAATGGAAAACAAAAGGTTAGACTTGAGCTGAAAGCAAAATCAAAGTATGTAGACATACATGCACGCCACTTCCCAAAGGTTCAAGAGAACTCCGAACTAATAATGGCATGCATGCATGCTGTTCACTAGCGGACCGTACCTGTGTGTACACGGTAGGTTCTACGCCACGCCGGAAGGACCCAACCTAAGCATGAGCATGGCAAGAGATACGTGAGACGTCGAGCGACCCGCCAAACAGAAGTAACCGACTTCACCTTGCACGAGGACGAACCATCCCCACAATGGAACCACCGCAAGATGACTAGGATCCGTTCAACCACACAGCGGTCCGCGCGAGGGTCCACCCGTAGATGCACATCTCGAGGCACGTGAACGTGGGACTCTCAATTCCATCATGGTCATCGTCATGCATGTCTTCGCGAGGAAGAAGAAGTTGTGCGAGAAAAAAGACCTTGTTTGAGGCAGCATTCGACGTTTCGTTTTTGATTTGAGCAACGGCGTTTTCTTTCAAGATTTTGAAATCAAAAAACAAAATTCAAAATGAAACGACTTGACGTCGCTCACTCGTCGGCAAAGGTACGATGTACTACGGTACTACCGTAGGTACGGATGTCGGAGGTTGCTTCCAACAACTAATTGCCTCCTTTGGTATCCTTCCACACAGCTTCAGGAACCGAGGTCTTGTGCCATGGGGAAACCACAAAGAAGCAGAAGCGTAGATACTCTCACTTGCTCCAACGGTTGCCGCCATCACCAAACACCTTTGCTAGCCTTCCCCGAGCGGCTGGTACGGCAGCCTGCAGAACTTCCCTACTCTAAAAATGTGCATAGCATTCATGGTCGGCACTTTCGATGCAAGAATAATGAGAATAATGATCGCTTGGGAATACTAGATACTAGCTAGCTAGAAGTATATACTTGACTTGGCTTTTCTTTGCCTCAATCGTCGACGAGTTGTTGCGGGTATGCACGCCTTGCTATGCACAGCTAGTAATTAATCGTAGCGCTGCATAGGGTGTAGAACCAAATACTATCCATCCAGCCAGCTATCTACGGCAGCGTTGATTGCAGCCGATACCTTCCACACTGGAAAATAACAACTTCAATCCGGTTGAAGAATCCATTCTCCTCTGTGTGTGTGCGAAATGCTGCGTAACCACCTATTGCTTTCATGGACTCGTCACTCCTCGATGTTTGTGCAAGCTGGAGATAGGACTGGAGTTACAGAGCCTTGCTCCGTAGTAGTCGATCGATCCCACCCAGGTTCGGCGGCGCTCTCTGCGCTCGCTTGCCTCACCTTCGGACGTCGTAACGTGCGACCAAATACTGCCAATCCAGCCAGCTATAGTTCCAGCAGTGTTGATTGTAGCCAATGCATGTCACTCTCTGCCCACTTGCTCACGTTCAGCTGCACTCGCTCACCATTCACACAGGGAATGAGTATCGACACAGGAATCACCAACCAAACGCTGGGAAATAGCAAGGGGGGGATGAATTCGATACGGAGAATCCACTCCTCTGTGTGTTCGTAATGTCGTGTAACCGGCTGTTGCCTTTCAATGACTCAACGACGTGCGTTCAGGCCGGAATTAGGACTGGAGTCTTGCTCCATAGCAATCGATCGATCCTTCCTCTACCTGCGGAATGGATCGACTTGAAGAGGACTCGTCAGTGGCGTTTCCTTGGTAATCAGCAGCAAGAGAACCACATCAATAGGTAACGTCTTCGACAAGGACCGGTAGATTGGGTAGCGATTGTACGCCAGTATTGCGTCGACTACAGCTCGTAGAGCCAGTCTCGCACGAGGAGCTTCAGTGCCCAGATATTTCGGTATCGGCAGGAGGCGAGATTTTGCCCAAGCCTGACAACCAATAGACCCGAATACCAGATCTGTCAACCAAAGGAGACATCTGAACACATCCGTCAGGAATGCAGGTCTTGGTCATCCGCTGTTTCGGCCTCTGGCGGCATCACACGGCAGCTGTGAAAGGACTCATCATTGTCCAATCCGTCGCCTTCGTTAAATGGAGTCCTGTAGTGCGACGAACCGATTTGTTCCGTGTCATCCTCGTAAAGAGTATTGGGGTTGTCAGAAAACTCAGATATTGCCTCTTTTTGAGATTTTCGGACACTACTACGTGCTTTTGTGTCCATGAATGAGACTCTCCGGCTTCTTGGGACTCTCTGGGGTAACTGAGGAAACTGCGGTGTAGGCTTTGTCGTCGACACGACATTGTCAGTGCTGCGAAACCGGCTTGGTCGTGCCCTTGTCGGCTTTGCCGCCTCGACAATGTTGGTGCTTTTCGCACGGCTCGGCCGTGCCCTTGTCGGCTTTGCCCACGCAAAATAGTCAGTGCTTTTCGCACGGCTCGGCCGTGCCCTTGTCGGCTTGACTTCACGGGGATTGCTTTGCTTTGGCTCGTCATCTGTTTGGGAATTGTTTTGACTTTTCGGCACCTGTCGTTCCTCCATTTGTAAATGTTGCAACTGATTTTGGGTGGTGGTTGATGTTGTTGTCGGACCATCTGTTTCGGACTGGCTTTGCCATGACAGGTCGTCCAATCCCGCCAACCTTTCAAAACGATTGAGTTGTTGGATTGCCTGCTTCAATGCGTCCCTGGCATTCGTATTGGTTTGACTGAGCTGCAAGAGCGCCTCCTCGTAATGTTGCTTGGACGCCTCACCGACGTCATCGACTTGGTCTAGCAAGAGTTGCACATAGAGCAAGAGATCCATTTGTTGTTTTGACATTTTGTCTAGCTTTTGACGCAGATTGATGATTCGATGGCGTGATTCGATTTTGTCCTTGACGTAGTTTTCCACCATGAGAATATCTTGTTGGTCTTGCACCATTTTGACGGCATCACATACAACAGCAATAATGAGATTGTACAAGATGAAGGATGAAAACGTCACATACGTGGAGAAAAGGTATGACGCCCACGGATAGACCTGCATCACGGCTCGTGTTACCCTTGCCCAGTCGAGTGTGACCATGGCAAAGAGTGTGAACAGTGCGTCATCTAGTCGACCAAAGTAGCTGTAGGTCCCAGCTAGTGGTTCCTGGAATCGATCGGTAAAGTCAATCTCTCCAAAGAGTTCTGTACACATGACGCCAAATATATAAATGATAAGGCAGAACATGCAGATAATGGCGGAAATGCGTGGCAAGACATCAAAGATTGCCTGTGGAAGTAAGTATTAGGTGATCGGAAAAGGTGCGAAGAATGCGAAGAAAACGAGTCAGAATACCCAACAGACGGGAGTTGATGATCAAGTCATGAATATAGTATTGCCCACGTACCTCTACGAGCCGCCTGAGAGCTCTAATTTTGGTGGTGAGTCGAAACGCCCGAAAGATGCGAAAGGACCTTAACTTGAGTGCCCTTAGGACGGATACCGACTCGAGTGTCCAACTGGTAATGACAATAAATAGATCGAACATCAACCATCCATCGAAGAAAAGGCCATATCCATGATACAGGAATTGCATGAGCAATTCGATGGTGAATATGATGAGGAATGCCAAGTCGACAATTCTGAACGCCCGATAGGCATTTTCATTGTCTTCGACAAAATCGAAGGTTGCCAACCCAATAAAGAGTGAGTTGAGTAGAATGAGAATGACAATGAATATTTGGAAGCCTTGGTCATTGACGATGCGACCAGAGTAGTATCGAACAACGTCTGTTTTGAGCCGGATGTTGTGGATCATTTGCTCGAGCCAATTCTTTGGCAGCTCTTCTTCTTCTGATTCATCATCGCTCTCTGGTTCACACTCGCACTCGACCTTCCCGCAATCACCGCAGACTTCTTCGTCGGGTTCATAGGGAGCCTTGAGGCGGAGTCCATCCATGAACCTGGCTTCTCGGGCAATACGGCTGGCAACTTCGGAATGCGCAATAGTGGACTCGGCCCGCTGCAGTCCTCCCCCGGGCCTTCGAAGTCGAGCCATGCTTAAGGAGTGCATTAAGCCTCTTCTTTCAGGCGGAACATTGTTGTTCTCTTCACTATGTATACTAGTATGCACACTGGTGTGGCTGCTGTTCTCGGAACGGTGCCGTCTCCTTCTACCAGTAAGGGGCTGCCCTGGCCCTGGCCCTTCTACTTGGACGCCGTTGGTCTCATGGGGTAGACGGCCCATGGGAGTCATAACGCCAGCAACTAGACTAGCTAGCTAGACTAACGGTCTTTATCGATACCGTACCGTAGCGGTGCCTCAGAATAACACCATTGCCAATTACTAGCTAGTCCTGTCTGTATATTGTTGTTGGCCTTTCCTTGCTCTGTGTAATAATATATTATCTGCAGTGCAGCAGTGATTCATCGAACGGCGTTTAGTCGGATGCAGTCTTGCTGTTTGCTGCCAGAGCTCTCACGATCGACGTACAGTATTCATTCCGTAAAACCGCCGTTTCCCATTGGCATAGTTCCCCGTTGGGTCCCCGCAGGTATAAGGATAGGACTAGGAAAGTGGTAAGCCACCAAAAGCTGCTCGTGATCCAAGGCCCCTAATACCCGTGGGTATTGTCCCAAAGCATACAACATAAAATTTCCAGCTAGCTAGACTTTTAACAAAAGCTATTTCAAATAATTCAATCAAGACTTTTCATAGACTAACACCAGTGCCTCAATGAGTACCTCCATGACAATCAATATGATAATGATCCATTCCAAAACAACCGCATGATGCGTATGATTCTCTTCCAAGATTTTGTTGTGTAATTCCCCGACCATATCAAGTCGTTCATTGACGAGATCCAATCGCTTGGTGATTTTAAAGTATTTGAGAGTGGTGTCATAGGTCGATTCAAAGCGATCGTCTTCCCAGAATTCTTCCGGGGTATCAATCAAACTTTGATCGAGATTGATGCCGTGTTTGACCAGAAACAATCGTCCAATTTCGCGCGTCAAATCGTGTGTGGACATGTGGACCCGGCCCTTTTGGACCATTTCTTCTGGCAAATGTGAATTGCGTTCAATGACTTGTTGTACGCGGAGTTCGTAGAGACTCAACAGGGAGCTTTTCGCGAGTGCAAAGGAAACGGCCAGTTTTTCACCCGATTCTTTGGTGGACAACGTGCAGACGTCTCGTTTAATGGTGAATATTGGTGGTTGACTAGTGTTGTTGTTGTTGTTTTCAGCAGCAGCAGCAGCAGCAGGAGGTGCATAGTATTGAAAAGACACGGAATCCATGGCTTCTTGAATTTCGTCGTCTTTGTAAGAATCTCCGCAACACTCGTTGAGTTCTTGCAAGAGTGTTTGCGAGATCCATTCTTTTTCCGCAGCTTCATTGGGAAAGTTCCAAAAGATGCAAGCGCCAAACGAAAAGACGAAAATCTCGGGCAGTTCTTCTCCCTCTCCGTGTTGTTGTGGTTGTTGCGTAGTACTACTACTCGTAGTTGTAGTATCGGGAAACAACCGCACGACTTCAAACTCCGACAGTGCCTTCCAGCCTGTCACGGACTGCGCCACTTGTTCGATATCAATTTCATCCACGGGCAAGTGCATTCCCACACGGCCTTCCCACGGAGTTGGCGGACGTGTCTTTTTCCGAAACTCGGCCACCGCTTTTCGAGCTCGGGCTTGTTTTGGAAACAGAATGCGATTGCTGTGATCCGTCGCAGTTTCCCGAGTTTGACCAAGACCCCGTCGTGGAAGCAAGGGTTGCTTTTCGCCAGCATGGGTAGGAGAGGACATGCTATGACTGTTTATTAGCTAGCTAGCTAGGATGAGATGAGATGGGGAGACTGTATACGAGAAGCTGTTACATGCGGCTGTCAAGGAAGACAATTGAGATAAATGAGGACGAGCCGTTGGAACCAAGTAAGTGAGGGCATTGGCAGCACATCGAGCTTCATTCGTGGATACGTCTGCATTTTCCTAAATCCATTTGGTCCCGGTGCTCGCCGAATCCTTTACTGGTTGGAACCACTAGCTACATGTGTACACAAGGAGCTTAGCTGGCTTCAAGTTAGAGGTGGAAAGCCGCGGCGAAACGACGAGATCTCATTTTCTCTTGCAACCTCGTCGATGGATGTGTGTCTTTGAAGCATCATAGAAGTGAAACGCTACGATGACGAGTACTAGCAGCTTATTGCCTGCAGCGGTCAAGTCTCTAGGGATCACTGCTGGTCTTCTAGCGTTGCTGTTTCAGTATCTGATGGGTCTGCTGCACATTCAAGCCATTGAAATGGTACGACTCCAATGTTGTGGCCACTGTAGATGTTGCCTTCACATGTACCGGTAGTTCTGAAGTCTGATCTTATTGTCTTGTTCTAATTTGGTGTTAAGAAACACATGGATCCGACTGACATTGTTTTGGTTCCGTTGGAACTGGATCGACTGACAGTCTATGTGTCGGTAGTATCGGCTGCCAGTTGGGTACTCGCCATGACAAACGGCGAGACATTCCTTAGCTTATTGCTCCATTGGATATCTGCCGCGTGTGCCTTTTTTGCCATTGCCATTGTGTGTGGAGCCAGTCCCACTGAGCACTTGTATCATACGGCGTTGGCGTGTCTCTACATATCCTCTCTCGCGATCCTTCTCACCACCACAAATAATGGAAGCAGCACTGCCATTTCGGGGGTATCCTGGTGGGAATCCAGATTGGCGCTACCCTTGCTTCCTACCAAAAAGGCTAACGACGAATCTGCCATGCTTCAATTCCACAGCCACTTACTGGCCACCTGTCAGACCCACGCCACGCTATTTGTCACCATTCCCTTTCAAATACTACGATTGTACGATTGGGGCAGTCAAATTCAGCGGTGGCCTCTTCCAATCACGCTGGGGAGTACCTACGGATTTGTCCTGGGGACCATCGGGGGATGGATGGGGATCCTGGCACTCCAATGCAGTCCAGGTTTGCGGAATGGGTATGCCTCCTGGACCAGCACCACCATCAGGTCCACCACAGTCGACGACCATAAGAGACTGGATTAGCCTGATCGGCCATCATGCAGCTAGTAGTGTGGATATAATGTTTCATTCATTCATTGTAGCACGGTGAGACGATACCATAATATTGATGAATCAGTATCTAAACCTCTACTGATATATGGCTGGGAGCACCAATATATAACCGGAAAGTGCCAAAATATATCCTGGCAATTGACGAAAGGGCGACGGTTTTCGTAAGGAGGCCAAAACCAACACCAATCTACCTCAAAAACCTACTTCCATCCATGGCTAGTAATAATAAGGATGCGCAATCCATTCATAACTATGCAATTCCTGGAGCACAGCCAAGCAGAATAAACCATGATATCCAAAGATCACGACCTCTTCGAAACTGATTATATGCCAGAATTGTTTCCCTGCCATATTCTATTCGTCTATAGTCCTACCGTTGCTAGATAGCGTGCTCTGCTACTACTACATGTAGCTAGAGCTGTGAATGCTCCTGCAACTGCATACTCGAGTACATGTAGATAGTACTAGTATCATGCGTACCGGTAGAGTGCGGTGAGAGAATTAGGAGATTAGGAGTTAGGAGTTAGGAGACGTCAATTTCAGGACTCTCTAAATAAATGTACAAGTAATAAGTCATTGCCGCCGGAGCTATTGCCGGTACCATACTCTATACTCTTTCGAAATCCCTTTGCGTCGCAATGACATCCTAGCCCCGAATCTTCAAGCGGCTATTATCATATGTATCGTCACTACTATTATCGTACATAAGTGATCAGGCAACTTATTATCTTACTCGTAGGCGTTCAGCGCGTTCAGCGAGGGCAAAGAAAGTGGAACTTCGGCTGCAGGATTGGGTTCCGGGGGCAAACCAACCGAGAGTATCTGATTCTGTCTTACCCCACCTTCATACATTCTCTACCTGGACCGTCTCCAACTTTGACCACCTTTAACCACCTCCAACCGTGCTATACCGACCTTTACCGCTCGTTTTACCACCTTATTACCACCTTTTTACCACCTTCGACCACGCTGTACCGACCTAGACCGCTCTCAACCACTCTTAACCACCTGTTTTCTTGTTTTGGCCATGGCTTGAAACTATGGATCTGGTGGTTGAGGGAAATATCCACCATTCGGAGTTGAACTCCGGTTCCGTGATGGTAAATGCGGAACGGGTACCCTCGGTTTTCGGGGCTGTGACGTCACGAGACCCCAACGTCAGTCCCACCGCAAACATGACTTAAAATTTATTTAGAGAATTTTACTTAGCAAAAAAAAGCCGGCCGCCCATTTTTAAAATCTGAGTCAGCATCTCCAAAATTTCCCCCACCCATTCAGCCCCTGGTTAAAGGACTCCACGGAAATCCCCTTAAGTCCACCAATACTCCGACGCAAAAAATTTACAATCTCGATACCGCTTAGACCAGGAAAATACCGCACCCAAGACCTTAAGTAACGCACAGTAGCAAAACTGCATCTGCACTGCCGAAAATCCAACCAAAACATGCTGATATAGAACGTTGACCGAGTGCTTGAACGCAATCAGGAAATGTCAAAAAAAAAAACATCATGGTGTGACGGCAGTGGCAGTTGCTCAACCCTGGCAAAAAAGAACACAGAAAAATCGTGACAGAGTGGTATGGCCATCACTTCCTGGGCGATTGTGACAGACAATAGAAAAAATCTCGATGGTCACACCCAGAATCCTTGGCGATAGAAGCGGAACCGCGAAAATCCAAACTGTAATACCGTTGACATGCCACCTAATTAAAATTATTCACCTAAATACACTCTCAATTAGCTGTACAGCGTGAACAGTTCTAATTAACCAAAAATCACTTAGGTGCCGAACATATTAACAGTCAAAAACGCATGGGGGGCATTGTTGAAACGAATATCTTGCTTCCTAAATGCAGCCACTGCCAAAAATGTAGACAAGACACAACATTTAGGCGACAAAATGCAAACCACAAGATTCGTTTATACCCGTTCAGCTAAGCACCAAGATACAAAAGATTCGCACCTACAAAAAGCCCGTTAAACTCGCACACAGCACTACTAGATGATGGCATACTGCCTGCCGTCGTCATCAAAAAATATAGAACGATCGATGGCTCCTCCCGCCATGAGCTCTCCAATGACCTCATATGCAATCGTTTCAGTCATCCGTTCGATGTCGTCATCTGTTTGCCCGTTGCTCTCATCGTTCTCATCGTCAGTGTCAGGGCTGAACGTGTCATCTCCAAAATCACCCCAGATGTTGCCCTCAGCTTCGTCCTCGGCCTGATCCATATTGGTGTCAATGATGTGGCAGTAGTCGTCATCGTCGTCCTCACACCGTTGCTCTCGTTCACCTAAAACCTCCTGAAGCTGCCTCCGAGTTGCACGCACTCGTGCCATTCCTTCAAACATTGCCTCCCACTGTCGTCCTAGGTGCTTGCGTCGCCACATGTACTCGAAGAGATAGTCCTGCAGATCTGCGCCCTCTCAACACTGGACCGGAATGGCCTTCTTGATCGGTGTCCAGTTTCCTTCAACTGTCTGGGTGTGTGTTCCGTCCTCTGCAACAAACTCATATTTGTGGCAGAGTGTCTTGTGTGTGTAACCAAGTCGCTCCAGACCAATATAGCCCTTCCACATGTCGGTGTGAATGATGCTCCCAGGATGAACAAAGGTCTTGATTGCGTGCTCAAGTGTCTTCTTGGTTCTGTCGTCAACTACCAGAAGAACCATTCTGCGATCCGGTGTTCTTTCCACCATCCCCAGAACCCAGCTTCCCTTCACTCGTCGTCCTCTGTTGTACTTTCGTTTGGCCATTTTGGATTCATCAATCTCCACAATCGTTCCGTGGCCACCGATCATGTTGTTGTGGTGGGGTACAGTGACAATCATCTCCGTGACAAGTTGCCGGCAGTATTTCAGCCACCTTCCTGCCGTTTCGCTGTCCCAGCCAAGTTGTTGGCACACTTGCAGGTTTGTCGACTTGTTCAACCACAAGTAGATCAAGTGCAGAACCTCATTCTTGGGTAGCTTGCAGTTCTCGAGCACACTGTTCCGAAAGAAAGACCGCTTGTGACAATTCCCAGGGCTCCACTCCCATCCACAATCGTCGTTCGTACACTTTTTCCCTTTGTCGCCCAGCCGTGTTGTTGTTTCCTCCATTCGGTCGCAAGGGCACAGTTCACAGCGAACAGGGGGAGTTTCGTACATGCACTTTGTCTTCTGGCATCTTATTTGGTAGTGCTCCCAGTCAGGCTTTACACCGCTGTTGCATCGGCCACAGTACTCTGGCACCTGAATGACACCCTTGCCGATGAGAAACTGGACAGCTTTCTTTTCATCATACAGCACTTCCTTGAGTTCAAAAAGAGTCGGCAGTCCCTTTATTTCCTGCTGGATGTCGCGCTGTTTTGCCTTGCGTCTCTTATGCCGGTCCGAATGTTTGTACTTTTTACGTGTTGGCCTGTCGTCCTGATCACTCACTCCCCCGTTTGACTCTGCTCTTGTCGGCCGCAGTTGACGTAGGAGGTTTCTGGCAAAAGCTCTTGCAGAGCGAACTCTCGCCTGATGACCCCGTGGCATGATGGGGATGGGCGAGAACAAAACGAACAATCAGCACAAAGCCCAAACAAACAACAAATAATTGCTAGAACCTGAAGTTGTGAGCTTCAACAAATCTGGAACGCAAAGAATCCAAAGACAGAAAAACGGTGAGTTGGGAGTAGAAACTGCCGAATCTTTTTGTTGTTGCTGCCATGCTCGTTCGAAGAACTTGGCAGACTTCCTCTCTCTAACAAAGGTATCTCATCACTCCAACACAAATAGACGCATGTGACCCTGGCCACGCCGTCACCCCCCGACGTTGAACCCCGTACATAGAACAAACAAAAAACTGATTGGGACCGTGCACCGTTGCATTCCCATGATCGGCCGACCAGAAAGAGGGGACGAAAAGAGCAGGCAAGTTTGGCTCTCCCCATAGTACCGAACATCATTTTAAACCCCCACACATCCTACGTAGCATGTTGTCTTCGTTTACAGTATATTTAGCTAATGAAACGAGTGTTATACCGGTTGCATTGGTCCCTACTTAGTGGTTTGAAATTGTCTGGCCCGCCGAATTACCTCCGAGCCAAAATAATAGACTTCTTTTCCTTTTCTGATCTCTCAATGCCGGGGATGCACCCCGCTATTGTCTCATTCTTTTTGAAAAAGGCAGCCAAAAAAAGCGGAAAGCGGAAGAAGGATAGCACCCAACAGTTCAAAAAGTAACTCGCCATGGAGATCAATCAGGGAGGCGTGCCAGCCGATACCCAGGGCATGAATTTGGCCAGCAGAAATGACAATGGAAATGCCGTCGATTGCAAGTGGACACCACCGACCCCATCGGACAGTCTGGGAGATAAGCAGGGAGCAGAAACTGACTGCGAAGGAGCACCAAAAGAAGCCCAACCAGAGCGTGCAGTACGTGCCAACCTCAACACACTTTTCATGGCTGTGTCTTTCGCAGGACCTTCTTACACAACCCCCTCCGAAGGAGCATACGGTGAGTGGTGCATTGATACGTCTAACGTACTGGACAACTACTGAACTATTCTCTCCCATCTGCACCCGAACGCAGGCGTCCGAAGAGAAACTCACGGAACCAGCCGAAGAGTTGAAGCAGAACGAAGAAGCCCCGACAAACCAGCCATTTGCGACCAACAATGAAATAGACAGCGACAACAAAGGAGAAGCCGTGGACGACTTCCCAGACCCGGATGATTTGTCCGAAGAGGAGGAGGAAGACGAGCCTACTATTGACGAGATAGCAGAGATGGTGGACCTCGATGAGTCTGATCCAGACCATCTGAACGAGGTGCTGGAGCGTATCCTGTTCAAAGATCCGGAGGACATTACAGATATGGAGAACTACATCCTTACCTTCTATCTGGGCACCAAAGGGCCGAATGGCAATAGGCCAGGAGTGCCTCATTTCTTGAAGCATCTCGAGCTCAAGAGGGACGGTCTTCTGCCACACCCACAAACCAAGAAGACACCGACAAGAAGAAACCTTCTGTCACATTCAGGTCCACCCCTACTCGCTCTCCACCTCTGAAGCGGAGAGATACAAGACCAACACCCGAGGCCCTAAAGTACCACCGAGGAGATATGCCCCCAAGAAAAAAATTACAGTAGGATAACAGTACTAAAAACAACTAATGGAGGTACCCCCTCGTATGTTACACAATTAGGGCGAGTGTGGATGTACTCGCGCTTGCACAGAAAAAAGGAGAGCGAAGTGAACTAGCGATCGTTAAGTAAAATTCCCTGGAAGGTTGGGGGGTATTTTGAAAATGCCGACCAGAATTTTATGAATGGATGGAGGGCGCGCATTAGTCCCGGAAGGGGAGGGTGAGTGGCCAATGCCACGTCACAGCGGCATTTGCCGCTGTGAACCATGCGGAACTATTATCGGGGGTTTAGAGTAGGGAAACTATCTACGTACGGAAGCCAGCCGGGGAACTATTGATGATCGCCATCCAAAAAAAAGCAGCAAGCAAGAGGTTGAGTGGGATGACTACATAATATATACATATCGATAAAGAGGAACAATCTCTCAGCTGTACGCCATGTCCTCTACCTCCCGTCACCCTCAACCCAAAAGCCAAGAAGAGGCCGCCTTGGAACGTGATCTCTCATTGGGTCAGCTTGTCCTGGAACGAAGCCAAACTGCCACAATAGCCACCAAGACTGCGGAAGACATCAAGCAGGAAGAACTGCTCAGACGAGCAGCAGAAAAAAGGAACAATAATGACAATATTGGCGATGTTCCGGCACCTGCAGTTGTTAGACGTCCATATGCCAATACAAGGAAGAAAGCACCTGATACTGCTACCACTACGGCAGTCAGTACGAACACTACTGAGGATGACGATCAAAGGCAAAAAGACGAGCTTGCCTTGTTGAGCATTGTAGCTAAGCGATCTTCGGCTGCAAGCAGAGAAGAGGCTGACTTGGCCAAAAAACAAATTCTTCTGAATCCTGGCAATCCTGGTGACTATGACTATGATGTGTCCGAAAAGGTTGATGCCAATCCCATTGAGGACAATCCAATGGAATACGACAATGAGACTGGGCGTCCCTCATCCAAGCACAGCCTACCACCCGGCTCTCTCACTCCTGGTGCCTACTCGGGCGCAGTTGGGGCCAATTATGAAGCTGTGAAACCTGTCAGATTGGATTTGCTGGGAACATCCTCACATCATCCCGGCGAGGAGGAGGAAGCACGAGCAAGAGCAGAACAACAAAAACAAGGAGTTATCACCAATGAGGAAGCTCAGCAGCAACCAACAGAATCCATTATTCCTCTGGAGGAGAAGCAGAAACCAAGCAGGAATCGAAAGCTGATTGCTGCGGCTGCCATGGGATGTTTGTTGTTGGTTGTGATCATCATTCTGGCTATTGTAATTCCACTGTCCGTGGGAGGAGGAAAAGAGGAGAGTCCTCCGTCATTGGAAAACACACAAGAATTATCCATCGACAAGGCACTGCTCCCCAATGCCCCTAATTCCACCTGGGATTCCATCCAAGACAATCTAGATTCACCTCAATACAAAGCCTACAACTGGCTGACTCTGGATCCCAGTCTACACTTGTACGAAACCTGGCAAAAAGAACAGAGATTTGCCTTGGCCACCTTTTACTATGCATTTAACGGCCCCAAATGGAGGTTCAAAGATCCTCTCACACAGAATGAGTGGCTTAGCTATGAAACCAATGAGTGTGAGTGGGGGGTCTACCTTCCAAAGACAACTGACAATCATCATGTGATTTGCAATGATGATGACATTGTGAGACTCATTTCCGTGACAGAACAAGGTGGTCTCAAAGGGTCGGTTCCATTGGAGCTATCGTTGCTTGGGAGCCTGCAAGGATTGGACTTGTCAGACAATGTGCTGCAAACAAACTTGACAAATCTGTTGCCAATAATCCACATGCCAGAATGGTTCCAGTCCTTGGAGGCAATCCACTGCACAAATTGTCGTCTGGAAGGAAGCCTACCTCCAGAGCTATGGGATTGGACAAATCTTCGTGTGTTGTGGCTCCAGGAAAACTCTCTTACCGGAACCATTTCGACAGCAATCCAGCAGCTGTCACGGCTTCGTGCATTGGAGCTATTCGACAATAAACTATCTGGGCCGATACCGTCCGAGGTTGGCCTCGTCACGTCACTCAAGAATCTGGGTCTACGGTTGAATAGTTTTACGAGCGCCCCCTCGGAATTGGGCCTCTTGACCAATTTAGTGGATCTGGGTCTCGGCGACAACGAAATGAGCCACCCTGGTTTTAGCTCGGAACTGGCAAAATTGACCAACCTGCGACATTTGAACCTGGTGAACTTGAACCGAAAGGGCACCAACGACAATTCAGAGCACGCCCTTACAATTCCCACCGAGGTTGGTTTGATGGCGGCCCTCGAGGTTTTGGATGCCGAAAGGAATGGCTGGATGGGTGCGATCCCCAGTGAGATTGGGAATCTATCGAGGTTGACAGACCTGCATTTGAGACGAAATAGATTGAGCAATACTATGCCGACCGAGTTGGGACGGATGTCAGCTCTGGAAACACTCTACTTGACCAACAACCAGTTCACTGGATCGATACCGTCGGAACTTGGTCAGATCACAAGTCTCCATGCGCTGCTTTTCGTGGACAATAGCTTCCAGAAACACTTTCCCCTGGAACTCTGTCAACGGGATTTCTCGGAATTGCTCACTGACTGGTGCGAATCACGGGATGAGTGTTGCATTGGAAATTAACTTGATTCGATTCGTAATGATTTGATTTGAATCGAATCTTTGATGCCGAATACACGGACAATTCCAACGTGAAGATACCGGTGCGGGCAGTTACTGCATGGCTACGGCTCTAGACTATATACTCTTCTAAAGCCACTTGATTCGATTCGTAATGATTTGAATCGAATCCTTCAATCGAATGAATTAAGTTGGAATGCACGGACGATTTCAACACGATAGTACCGTACCTCACGATTAATATTCCCCAGTTTCAGTACGAGCAGTCACTGCATGGCTCTGTACTCTTGCAAAAGCCATGATTATCGCGCAGATCATTCATTGTGAATGGCGACGCTGCCTCCGCTTCCATCTCAAGATCTTGCTTCGACGTGGTCCATGCCGGACGGAGCCCTTTCGAGATCTGGAACTTGACCATCTTGGCTCCTCGATTGTCTGGTCTTGTCTCGAGTCAACTCTCGATCAAGCATACGGTAGATCAACTTTTTTTCCCTTCAGGTCTTTCACCGACTTGGGACGTCTTCCCTCCGACCTATCAGAGACTGGACCCTAGCTATTGCTAGCTAGAAAAAAAAAACTGAACGTCTAATAACGGATTCAGACGAGATGTGCTTGAGGACTACCCACGAGCTAGGGCTCGGGTATTTCCCACAGTCAAGTCTGCTCACCGGCCACACTGGCCTCCTGAGAGGGTGCGACGCCTGTTAGCTATCTAAGGATTTGTACACTGAGTCAGAGCCATGATTCACCACAAATCACGAGCTCTTTGTTGAAGAGAGTTGGGGTTGGTAAAGAAGTTTGAGGGGGTAGGAGGGGTAGGGAAAAAGGGATGGTAGGAATGTCCGACTATCCTGTTTCCAGGGCTGTGGTGTAGTGACTCTCTTGTAAACAGGTTCCCATGTGTTAAAAATTGAATGATGACTGGTGTTTCAGTTGCATGCGCGATTCAGTGGTATCTGGAATAGCCATTCCAAATGTTCGGGATTCTTGCTGGTATGCTTCGTAGAACTGAGTGGTTGTCGGATTGCTTGTGCTTTCTTTGCTTGTGACTTGGTTCTCATGTCGTGCCCATGTCTGTCTTGCTATTGCTAGCTAGATCCGGATCTCGACGTTCCTATCATTGCTAGCTAGATCCGGATCTCGACGTTCCTATCATTCTTCGAACCCCATTTTTGCTCCATATACCGGTGCCATTGCGGTGTGCTAGCTGTGGTTCAGCAGCCTTGCTATTTTTTTTCCAGTTCTGCGAATTCGAACACGCACGAAGTACGGACCTTGAATGATGACGTGGATAGCAACCGTGACTCAGGTGGATTTCGTTCTCACCCCAGTTTCGAAGCCTTTCGCACAATCTTGCCATTTGGAAGAGGATCGAAGTTGTTGGAGGTTTGTTGCATGGCTGTTGCTGTCGACAGTGCGACCATGACGCCTCCCCTTGGTTCTTCCGCCTCAGGTTTTGGTGGTACGGATGCTACTCGCAGTATATCTTCGACTCCAGCGACGTCTTATGGTTCGATGGATGAGTTTCAAGAGTTTCAAGTTTCTTGGAAAGTTTGTACTCACGACGACAATGACGCTTGGATCGACTTGAATGACGATAGAGGGACTGCTGAAACAGGCTTGATGACTCTGTACCACAAGACCAAAGACTTAGACAAGCCAATTGGTTCTCTTGGCAGTGACAATGACAGCAATGACGACTTTGCAGATTCCACGGCACTCAGACAATCACTTTTGCAACGCGTCCAGAACTTTTCCGTTCCAGTGAATCCTAACAAGGGATACCGAGCAACCCAAGTGCGCCTGCTGTCTTTCCAACGTCCCCATATGAGAGCCTTTCATTGTGCTTGGTTGTGTTTCTGGTCCGTTTGGTTGCTCTGGTTCAGTGTCACCCCGCTACTGCCGTATGTTCAAACGTCGCTCTCCTCTCCTCCCGATGTTGTCATTACCAAACAAGATTTGTGGACGTCGACCATGTGGAGCATGACGGGCTCCGTCGTACTACGACTGGTACTGGGGCCGCTCTGTGATCAGTACGGAGGCAAAATTGTCCTCACCAGTGTTCTAGGGGTGTGTGCCATTTTGGGCGGGAGTATGGGGTTCCTGACACGGCACAGTTTCACCACCTTTACCACCTTACGAGCCTTGGTGGGATGTGTGGCAGGGACCCTCGTCCCGGCACAGTATTGGATCACGACACAGTTTGTACCCGAAATTTGTGGGACTACCATGGCACTGGTGGTCGGATGGGGCGCCACGGGAGGAGCCATGGCACTTGTGTTCATGGGATCCATTGTCTTCCCAATCTGCTTGCACTGGCTGGATGATAATGAAGATTTGGCTTGGAGGGTGGCGTTGCTTGTACCAGCCGTCATTGCATTTGTCATTGCATGTCTATCCTATCGGTATGCCGATGATACACCCTTGGGTAGCATACCACAAGTACAAAAGGCAGGACTATTGCAATCACGGTCTGCCGCTGATTCCTTTGGAGCAGGAGCCATCAATCTCAATGCGTGGTTGCTCTTTTTCCAGTAAGTGAGACAGCACACGACAGAGCTAAGCAAGGCAACGATCAATGCAAAAACACCTCAATCCTCAATTTTGTTTCATTCCTGATGTCATTACTGTACCGGTTAGATTTGCCGCGGGGTTGGGCATTGAATTGACCACAGAATCGGGGATATCAGCACATTTGGCCGAACGATTCGATCTCTCGCTGGCGCATGCGTCTTCCTTGGCCAGTCTCTTTGGACTCATGAACTTTTTTGCAAGAGGACTGGGAGGGTGGATCTCGGATCAAATGCATCAACGCGACAGTCTACGAGGAAGACTTTCCGTTCATTGGACACTCATGGTCTTGGAGGCAGGCATGATTTTGGTCTTTTGTTACACGACAACCTTGCCCACCACATTGCTGGCCATGATTTCGTTTGCCATTCTAGGACAAATGTCCTTGGGAACGTGCATGGCCATTGTGCCATACATCGACCCCGCCAACACGGGCACCATTGGTGGAATTGTTGGAGCCGGAGGGAACGTGGGAGCTATCGTCCTAAGCAACGTCTTTCGGAATGCTTCTTCCGATCTGGAAGCCTTTCAAGTCATGGCCGTGTTTTGCATTGCCATGTCCTTGTTGACACCCTTGATTCACATTCGAGGATATCGTGGAATTTGCCTTGGAACCGAACAAGACGGAAAAGATGCAAGCAATCTACAACTTCATCATCCGAAAAAACCACTTCAATCTTCATTGCTGGTACCACGGAAAGTTACGGCGATTATTCACAGTCAAGACGACGAAGAGAGATGTGAACCATAACCATGCAGCTAGGATGCCCTGGTATCATGGAATCTCTACGGACCAACGTGTCTTTTTGGGATCGGCAATATTGATGTTCCGTTATCTTCTATCAATCGTGTACTGGATGATGTTACTGTAGCACTCTTCAGCAACTTTCGACCATAGTTTCCATCCCATGGGAAAATCCTACTCCTGCCTCAGTCTGAAAGTACTACTAGAAGTACGGTAGGTCGAGTAAGTACGGAGAGGGCCATCGTGCTTTTGGGCTGGATCCAGGGGCATGAACCTTCGGCAAGCCCAGCTGTTGCTCCGGTCCTTTTGGTCTAGGATTATCAACGCACTGGAGCCTGGTACCGGTATAGGAAAGTTGACTCTGTCGGATCACCGAGATTCGGCCGAAGAGGCTCCTGCGAAGATACCTCTCTACGCGGGTCTGCTCATGCAGTGAAAACGTAGGAAAGGTCAGTGTCATCCGCAAAACCAAACTCGCAGACTAAAGAAAATACAGAGAACGAGAAAAACCATGCATCGCAAGGTGAGATCTTTCTACGGTGGGATGATTGAATGAAAAGGCATTGCCTACCTTGCCCATCTGTAAATGTTGGGTAACCAACTTGGAAGTACTGTTCAATGAGCCTGTGGCAATCGGGGTCTGATGCAGCAAGGGTATGCCCAGTGGACTGAGATGTCAATAAATGAGTGCTGGGGAACCCAACCTTCATTTCTTGTGTCCATGTATAAGGAGTGCGGGGATCATACAAAATGCCTGCAATTATGCCTGTAGAAGCGAAATCATCCAATGCGAGATGAGTTGCCGCGTACAAAAGCTGCATGGATGCAAATGATTGCGCGATCAGTAGACCTGCACGAGATCGGACGCACCTGAAGTAAAGGGGTTGCCAAGTGGTGGCATTGGAGAGGACTTGGGCCAGAAGTAGCCGAACAGATACTCGGTCAAGAACTGCCTTCCCGGTTCCTCGGACCCCGCTCCGTTGTATCGTTCATTGATTTCCATTGTCTCTTTCACCAGCCTGTCGTCATCGTAGATTGGACCGGAACGATCCTGTCCTCGAACCAACTGAATAGAGATTTGATTCGCTGCATTCAATATGAAATACTCTGGATTCCCGTATACAGTGACGGTCGGATCTCCCAGCTCAAGGGGGGTGTACGTTGGCTGCGATCTGTTTCCGTCATTGGAATCTTTCCAGTTTGACACCAGTGCTGATGCGATCTCCACTTGTAGTAGATTGAGTGTGCCTTGAGCGTCGCCCGTAGCAGCAGTATCGCAGATCAACTGAGCCGCTTCCCTGTCGACAAGGAGTTTTTGGATGAATTGTTCGAGCGTATTGGTCCTTGACAGTGGCCCCAAGTCACTCACTGCGGCGATAACGTCACTCAAATCTTTCATGCACTTTCTCATGTCTTCCACTGGACAGCTTCCAGGATCTAGAAAATTCCTGGCAGTGCACGAGAAGATGATGTAGTCAATTCGTTCGTTGAACCCAATTGCTCTTGTTCTTGCATTGTGGTAATGATCAGGACTTGTACTCAAGCTCCCGTCCAATACAAAGAGGCCCACGTACTCGTTTTCAAACATTGTAGCATAGGCTGCAAAAGCAGCAGACCCATAGGAGACACCGTAGAAGTGTAAGGAAGGCGCATTCAACAACAGTCTCATGCGGAAGAGGTCCTCTGCTAGCTGTCTCGTCCCGGAATACTCGAGAAAGTGGAATCTTGTAATGTTACCATCCTCTTGAGTGGCGTTCAAGTGAAATCCACAATCCGCGCATGTCCAGCATTGCATCATTCGTCTCCTGTGGACAGGAAGCAATGATTTGATACCTTCTTCTGTAAGATCAAAGGTCGTGTTGGCATATTCAGGTGGTAGGTTTCTCTCCACAAGAATGCCATTGCCATCTCTTTGAAAGTCCAGTAAAGAGCATGCTTCATGTGCAAAGCTTGGCTGGGAACGGCCAACCCCTCGCTGTAAAGTGGGACAGGCAGCGATGTGAAAGATGCATAGTGAGCAAAATAGAACCCTTCCACCATCATCCGGATTGCCTCCTCAATCAATAGCCTATTTTTGCGATTCGGAGACTCTTACCTGGTCAATCGACAAGATGTTGTAGTCATTGGCAACGTCTTCTCCAAGCTTCAAGGCTTGTTCGATTCCACAACCAGACAAGGAACCGGGACCACCACAGTGTGAGACCAAGTTTCCTTTGACAGCTGGTTGTTTGTTTGCAAATCGCATGCATACATACACCTCAATGGTAGGATAGGTAACACCAGGACGTGATCCAAGCCGTGATTTGAGGAATCCACAGGTGACCGCACCGGCAGCAACTTCCTCGGGATTTGCCCATTCAAATAGTTCTGGGTCAATTCGTTTCCTGAAGAAGTCAAGGGACTCTGCCTTGTAAAACTTGTTTTTGGACTCTTGATGGCTTGTTGGTTTTTCATTTCCAGGATATGTTTCTTCACCGACCCAAGGATCCCACGTGTTAGCGGTTCTCCTCGTCGCACCGTTTGGAAGCAATATTCGATGCTTGTGCTGTAGGACCCGATGGGGCCACAGAATTCCTGTTGCATCCTTGGCTATCTCGTCATTGTGGTAATCCGTGGCAGTGACAAGGCAAAGTACAGGCCATGCAATTGTCCCAACGAACAACAAAGCCCTCATCTCTATCACTGCATGTTCCCGGTGAAAAGCATTGGCTCATGGTGGTGCTGTGGTGGATCCAACGGCTTCGTGTCTCCTTTTTTTGGTCTTGGCGCGGGAGTTGACGCTTCAAGTCGAGTCAAGTCGAGTCGAGTCGAGTCCAGTCGAGCGACTCGACTCGACTCGACTCGGAAGATTCGTTCGTTCCTTCCTATGAGAAACACAGCGAGGCTGAATGTGCTGCGCTGGCACCGTAGCTGCGAGGCTTGGTATGGTACCTGATGAGGTATAAAAGGTTTCCCCTCTGTTCTCATGCATCGACCCTGGTAAGTAACTTCGTCGAGTCTCCACCATTCCCTGCAAACCGAGAAAGGTACCAAAGATTCAGGGAACCCGACTCTTCTTTCGTGTCAGGTGGCTGCATAGGTGCAATGACGATATTGCCACCAAGCCATGCCAGATTACTAGTGCCCCGGTAGCCGGAACCGAGAAGCTCCAATGACCACTGACAGCGACAAGCTCAGCAACACTAGCTAGCTAGACTACGGCCAGTAGAGCCAGCTGGATAGCAGAGATACCGGTAGCAGCTGCTCAGGCCAACAAAGTTCAGTTGTACCGCTGGTACCGAAGGCATTACTGCAACCAAAAATCGAAGGCAAGTCTCAGTAACTGTTTGTGCAGCTAACGCCAATAAAACTCACATTCAGGGTTGGAAATAAGGAGGATAAGAAGGGCCTCATTCTTTTGTTCTTCAAGAATGCAGAAATAGTTCTAGTGGTCACAAGGAGCACTAATGCTTTTGGAAACTCATTTTGTAATTTTGTAATTATGTTCTAGAAGATTGTTTTGGTTCATACCCGTACGTACTCCAGTAGTAGTCATCCATTTAAAAAATCACTTCGATCAATTAATTAATCGTTGATGGGTGATCACTACTTAAGCGTACATTACTACAGTACAGTACTGGAGTAGTTACTACTCGTAGTACTGTAGCACGGTACATCTGTACGTGACATTGTTCGAATCGAATCGTTCCAAACGTTCTACTACAGTAGTACCACTACTCGTCTTTTGTCTTTTGTAGCTACTAGTACTGTACTTGTATTGTTTGTACCTGTACCGGTAGCAGACATAAGTCTATACTTTCCTCTCTGAGAACATTCATAGTCACAGCAAAGTTCACAAACCACCGAATGGATGCTCATACTGGCATCCCAACTGACCCGAAGAACCATTCAGCGTTAGCTGCTGTGTGCTGGGAGGGTGCCAATTTTTAAAGCGTCAAGACAGGCAACAGTCACACAGCCTTCATCTGCCTCGTCATCTAATACCGGTACGGTAGTCTTCATTTTCTACCGTACATGCAAAGGTCGACGATGAGAACCAACCAAGCCAACCACAAGGATATCACAACTACTACATGTACTGGTAGCACCAACGGGGAAGCAGAGGATATTCTCGAGCATGTTGTTACTACTAGAACTACCGGTACCTGTAGCACTGGAGATGCGGAGCGCCAAAAGCTAGCGGAGTATGAACGTAGGAATCTACGTGCACATGTAGCGGCAGCTACTGGTATACCGGTAGCTCCTGGTAGGAAGCAGCATCATACTGCATGCAGTGCTAAAGCCACCAGACCAATGAGACAGGCTACAACTAGTACCAGTAGTAGAAGTACCGGTAGAACCAGTACTGCTAGCCACAATGGCAGGAATATGTACAGGCAGGACACCGGTAATGCCAGCGGTGATTCCAGTGATTCCAGCGGTGAATTTCTGACTATTGATGAAATCACCAAACTGGCGGCAGTTCGGCAGAGTCTCCAATCATCAGCATTATCAGGATGCAATCCTCCGAAAAGGGCATCCTTCAGCGCTCAAGATGGTGGAAAGCAACAGATTCCACTTCCGGATGGAGCACCTCAACCGGGGGCGTACGCAGGAGCTCCTGGTGAGGGTCTGCAGAGAACCCACAGACCCAGTTTCGCTCTACTTGGGGTAGCTGCTTCATCAGTACATGTAGAAGCAATGAAAGACCACAGTGATTACAACGAGGATGGAAGTCTTGCGTCCGTTGTTGAGGAGGGAGAAGTGCACAAGGCCTCAGAGTCAAGCCAAGTCACTTCTGCTGTGACTGTTGCTACCACCACCATCACCAATAGGCGGATTCTGCAACAATGCAATCATACGAATAGTGCAGAGATGTCTGTAAATGATGTCTTCACATGCGAGGACAGCAGCAGTGGATTGGCGGTGGCAGAGGCGGTGGAAGAGGAAGATGACATGCCACGGCAACACGCTGCTGAGTTTGACATGGACGAAGCGCAACGGAGAAAGAAAGAATCCATGAATCACTTCAAAACAAGGATTTTCTTGGCAGTCATTCTTTTCATTGCTGTTGTCATGGTTTGCATTGCAATGGTGGTGGTCAAGATAGAAGATGCACACAAGAAGTCAGGATCACAGCCTTCCATGGAGACACCCGCCAATAGTTCAGCTTCGCGTCAACCATCTACCATGGAAGATGCTTTGCTGGATCTTTTCCCACAGGAAACAGTTCAGCTCATAATGGGAGACCCTCAGTCATCCCAATCCCAAGCGTTCCAATGGCTACTGGATGATATTAGGGATACCCAAGGATCTGTGTCAGAAGACCGAATCAAGCAACGATTTGCTTTGGCCACAGTCTACTTTGGCACCAATGGAGACTCATGGACCAACAATGAAAGCTGGCTCATCCACAACATTCACGAGTGTGACTGGTTTACAAAACCAGACTACTCACACCGACAGGAACTCTCCAATTTGTATCCTGGGCTGCTCACGGAGTTTGAAACTCCGGCTTCCAAATGCAGCAGTAATGGACTCTACCAGCACTTGTGGCTAGACAGCAATCATCTCGTTGGAAGTCTACCCAATGAACTTTACATGATGACATCACTCCTATCCATGTCGGCTGGATTGAATCGGCTACGTGGGACCATCTCAACCCAGGTTGCCCAACTGACCCAGCTGACACATTTGTCCCTGTTCTACCTGGCAGAAGTTGTAGGACCCATACCCTCGGAACTGGGTCTCTTGACTGGACTCAGAGGAATCGGACTCAACAACAATGGTCATACAGGGACGATTCCATCCGAGCTGTGGCAGCTCACAAATATGGAGACTGTTGTGGTGATGGAGAACCCTGAGCTTCATGGCATCATCCCCACCGAGATTGGGAATTTCCACAAGCTGAGGTGGTTCATCAGCTCTGGTATGCATCTCACAGGTAGGTAACAGCAGCAGCAAATGACGAGTTGCTATGCTTTTGTCCTTCCCCACAACTCAATTCTACTTTTTGCTCATCCTACAGGCACCATTCCTACCGAGGTTGGCAGGCTGAAAAAGCTTGAATGGATTACATTGAATGCAAACAAGTTGACTGGAACAGTGCCATCTGAGTTTGGAACACTGCCAGAGGTTCTGTTGATTGAGTTGTTTGGTAACGCATTGGTTGGGAGTTTGCCCACTGAGTTTGGACACCTAACATCACTTACAATGTTCAAGGCTGGTGGTAATCGCTTATATGGCTCCATTCCCAGTGAATACGGTCATCTGACATCGATAACCCGAGGACTTGCCCTTCAGAACAACAGCCTCACAGGTACAATCCCAACTGAGCTGTCCAGGCTGACTTCTTTAGAAAAGTTGAAATTGGAGGAGAACCAACTCTCCGGCCAAGTCCCCAGTGAATTCGGCAAGCTAACCAGTGCTGGCCTGCTGGATCTTTCCCAAAACTTACTATCAGGGACTGTTCCTCAAGAGCTATCCACACTGCAACACTCTCTTCATACATTGCACTTGGAAGGGAATGCCCTGCTTTCTGGTATCTGGCCCGAGTCCCTCTGCAGCATCCATGGCACCTGCAAGGTCAACCCCTTGTTTCCGTGTAAGGGAAACTACGGGCTTTTCTTTGACTGTACGAGCCTCTTGTGTGGCTGTGAATGCCTCTGTTAGGTGGTAGCTTACATATCTACATGATAGCATTACTATAGTGTTTTGTTGTGTTTTTGTATAGAAGTATGAAGAAGGAACTATAGATTGTTTACAAAGAGTGATGCCAGATCCAAGTAGCTTAAATGGAAATCATGTTGTCTAAGCCGCTGGTGCCAGACTCAAATTCATTCCCTCCAGAAAGGTACAGACATTTTCAATAAAGAGACGAAAGTCTTCTGAGGGCACTGATAGCCGTGCCATGGGGAGACAGATGAGTCCCTTGAGCCACGACAGAGTCTGTCTCGTGTTACAAAAGTCAAGTCGATGTGAGTGAATGTGTCCCGTGTTGCAGGCCATGGCCAATAGGAGCCAGACAAGATCCCCGCCTTGTTGTGCGACTTTGCGGTTGGAGGAGAAAGTTTGATGGATCAAACTCGTGACATTGCCATAAACGTCAATGGCGTGACGCATGACCGAGTCGTCTTGTCGGTGAGTCGTCAAAGCTGCGAGCTGAGTTGCCAATCCCAGATTGTAGAGAAGCACCATGGACAACGTCGTTTCGGAAATCTCGTGAGACCTCCCGGGATCCACGACAAATGCGCAGGGATACAGTTGGAACAAGTTGTTTGGCGACAGTCGATGAGCCTCTTCCTTGCTCATCAGGCGAACGCTGTGGACGTCTCTAGTACCGGTAGTTGAGTGAATGTATTTCAAGTTCGGACGCTCTCCCTTTGCATGTAGGTTCTGTAGAGCAGCTTTGAGCATATTGGCAGCCTCCGCGTACTCGCAGTCTGCCACGAGAGCCACGGCCTGCGCATTGTAGTCGATGCATATCTGGTTGGACAATGTCATTGTAGTGTTTAGGCTGGAGTTTCACTTTTTTGAGTGGTTTGTACTTCTATTGTGCTTGGTTTTGTGAGAAGAGCGAACAGATAGCTACAGATCCCAACCCAAACTGACTGAAACATGGGGAAGCATGCTGCATCCTCCGGTACGGTTGGCTATTACTTTTAATTCGAAACTCCAGAAGCGGAAGCGTGCTCACTGGAAAAAATTGGCACCCCCGGCACGTGAACACTGAATTCCTCATCCCAAAAAGCTCCGAAACGTCAAGTGCTTCGCATGCAATTGTACATCCTGTCAAACTCTGGAGCTTTCAGCATACTTGAAAGATGAAAACTTGAAAACTAATCAGCCTGATCCACTATTGAGAAAAGTACAGAAATTCTGACGTGTTCTCGAGTATTGTCCGTGCAATCATTCATGTTTACTGCGGTAAAGATAGTTGAGATTTACCATTAACTCTTCAGTTTCGCCTTGCACGTGGTGGCGAATTACTACGTGTCGCACCGATCGCCCCGTCCAAAAGTAGTTTATTAGCATTGTTTGGGCTTCTCACGCGGTGTGCTGTGGGCCAGACGCTTTTGTAGTAGAGTTCCCAAGTGGATGAATTGAATTAGCTATGAATTACAAATTACGCAGAGCGTTCTCATGCAACAGCTTCGCTCCTATTCTGGCTTCAACAGGGATTGTGCTCATAAGACAGCCGTAGACAGCGACTGCAAGGGTGTACAAAATATCAAAATATTGGTTTATGGTGATGTGGGCGGCATGCGCCATGTGGGCTATATTCCAGCTGCTATTCCTCTGCCAGTTTTGTCATTAGTCGCGTTCGTTGCTTGTTATTGCTTCTCCTGTAGAGTTCTCAAGTGGCTGTGGATGGCTACATGAAATTTCGTACCAGTTTCAGCACCACCTCCAGGATAGGAAGAAGCTATAGGAATGAGCTGGAATGAGACTTGGTTGCGTGTTCCTAGCAATAAAGAGTGGTCAAGTTCATCAATCAATCCTCCAGCTGAACTCAGCGTAGCTATCAGGCCTGGTTCAGACAAGCAGTGCCACTCTTTACTGCCCTCCGTGGGCCTGCACTGCGCAGCCACTGTACTTTATGCAATACAACCATTCTCTTTCTACTAGTACTCTAGCTTCATAGTATTGTCATGATCAAGCAAGACATCTTTCACCACTCCATTAACTAAATTTCGCTCCCCAGGCTAACGAGTGCTCTTCCTTGGGCTTCCCGAAGCAATTGATCAGGTTGCAAGAGAAGCGGTCCTCACAATCCACCTAATGCATGATGCATTTGTGTCCATGATAAGTATTCTTTAGCCAGCCATACACCGCAACCAAGTGAAGCCGTGCTCTCCAAGAGAGAAGGCAAACACATACATCATCTTTCTGGCTAGCTCGGTGAACTGGCACTCAAGTAGTCTCCAGTACAGCCTAACAGTCGTATGGTCTTGGTCGCTTCGCACGGGTGGCTTTGGTTGCCATTGGTTACCGCCGCCACCTCCTCGACAAGATGAATACTAGTCTTTCTTTTTCCGTGGGGTTCTCTTGAACTTCGGTGATCTTTTCCCCTTCGAATAAAAGCCTTATTACACGAGGTTCTGGATTGGTTGTGCTGCTCGCCTGCGCAACCATGCAGCAAGTGCATGAACCAAAGCCCTGACCAAAGCAACCAGTATCGTACTGGATATTGCGACCATTCAGCTAGCTAGCTATCAAAAGAGGACTGTAGCTGGTAGGAGTATGATTGCTACGGATACGATACTTGGCGCTTCACAGATAAACGGCAATCGCAAAAAACCAGCAGTAATCCCTCTGAAGCAATTCATCAAACTTACTTTCTTTTGGGATGGCTATAGAGCAAGTTGGGAACCCCTTCTGACACCAGGTAGTATTGTTCCGGATAAAGCAAGTCTCTTATCGGCAGTTTCGTCGGAAAATTTCATGACAAACGTTCACCTCAAGCTTAGGTGCAGTGTGCAGTACAGTGCAGTACAGTATGATTGGGAATAGATGGTAGTTTTGGCAAGTCATCCCAATGCAAGGAAGATCAATTGAAAAACGATGGTTCCTTCCGAAGAAGCGAAGTGACCTAACCCCTCTCATGTGATCATAGGCCTACAGCCATGTAAACGTTCCCTTTAATGCTGACTTGGTTGAGGAAGTCGCTGGATTCCATTTCATTTCATCCTCATTTGATTAAGGTTGGCGTTCTCAACAACTGCACATGGAAGCACTTGAAGCATCGCAGCCAGCATGTTCAACATCCAGCCACATCAAAGGAATGGTTGGTCCAGAAGAGCAAGTATTAGTGAATACCTCCTGGAGGAAAAATTCGAGCATGCTGAGCTGAGCCTCCAAAACAAACTCACTTGGCAGCAAAGCAGTGATGAGCTTCTTGGTTGTTGTTCTTGTATAGGAAAACGAAATGTTAACGTATGCCTAGCTACACTGTAGGTAGCGGTACCTGTAGCAGTTCCTTGGGTTTCCGCATGCAAATGATTCGATTCCTCTGCAGAATTCATACCGATATCACATCGGTTCATGAGGTACATTAGGCGCCAGCCGGCTCAAACAAAAGATTTAACTTCCCATGAATGAAGCTGTGCCCGGCCAACTCGCAAACCATCGAAAACAAACAACATCGATTCAAAAAAGGAGTTCGAAATGGCGACAATGGAGAGGGAAAACGATGCTTGGAGCGTCAAATGAAGCGCTGAAAACACACAGAGTCCTTACAAACACAACAGGAAGAGTATATGACTGCTTTGTTTGCTGTATTGTGATGATCCTTTGGCCATGGTTGGTGTTTTTTCGTTCGGAAAGATATGAGAATGGTTGCCGCAATAATATTGCAGTTACCCTTCAGCGCGCCGGGCAGCTATTGTCAAATCCGTGAGGGCACGAACCGATGTGATATGGGACAGGCGGGCTCTCAGGAATCGAATGAATCGTCTGTTTTTGCGGGAATGCTTCAATCGCCGTGCGTCGTGCTTGGCGTCGTTGTGATCTAAATAAGTGAACCAGTTTATGTTACTTAGGATCCAAACGCACCTCGAGCCAAAAGCTGTTTTAACGAAAATCTCGTCTCACAATTTCGCCAATTGTGGCCTCTTCCATCCACGTTATTGGTTTACGATTGATTCGATTCGATCGATACGTGAAGGAAGACCTGACGCAAATGGCATTCGCAGCGGCGTGCTGCGTCCCTGTTATCCGATAGACTATTATCACCAGTGCTTGTATCATTGCATACATTGGACAGGATCAGGGAGTGTGTTGGAGCCAAACTCGGGAATACGTAGAGTCTCATAGAGAGCTCCACCATGTCTGCCATCTCGAACATTAGGCCAATGAGCCCTGTGGCGGCTTCAGCGTCTCCTTCCTTGGCCATTGGCCAGATGGTCAAGGTAGTTGGTGGAGACTACCAAGGTGAGACGGGAGTGATAATGGAACAAAAACGCATGAAGTTTCTCGTGCAACTCGTGGGCGGTAGCGCGAATGGGAACACGGCTTGTAAACCCTCCGTATACCTGCTACCCAAGAACATCAAGCCGCTCTTCTTATCTGCTCCTCCTGCTGCTGCAAGGACTCGAAAATTAAAGGCCAAACCACGAAATAAGAATGATAAAAAAAGCAATAAGGAGCGAGCACGACCGCCTCACGAGAGTTTGTCCCTGTCTCCGTCGCTTTCGAACGTCTCCTCGATTACCTCACCGACCATGATCGAAGCGAACAACAACAACAACAACAACAACACCATGTTACCACGCACTGCCACATCTCCACCAAGGATGGATATCTCGACAACCAGCGGTGCTATTAAAAAGTACGAAAGGGGTCCGTTCGAACCAGGACACGGGGTACGCGTTGTGGGGGGCAGTTACAAGGGACTACGAGCATTCGTGGTCGAACAGCAAAGGGTCAAAGTACTTGTGAGATTGGAACACAGTCAAGAAGAAATATTGCTCATGCCAGTCAATCTGGGACCCTGGGAACGAAGTCGATCACATGCCGTGCTCAAGCAACGACGAAAACCGACGCATGTTCCAGAATCAGACGGCAAAAATACTACTGCTGCTACTATTACGACTACAAGAGCCAGGAATAATGCTACAGATGCTGACAGTTCCGATGAAAGTCCATCCCACGATGATATCGACAATACTCGACCCAACTGTTCGTCGCCGCTCCAACGATTCTGGTCGCCAGTTCGAGACCGCGACAGCCACGGCAACAATAACTTTAATACCAAGGAAGTCGAAGACGAAAGTAAAGATGGTGGTCGAAGTCAAACTACTCTGGATCTCAAATACAGCGTTACAGAAGACTTCAGAGATACACCCATGCTACATCTCAAATACACACAGACGGGAGATTTGCTGGGGGGAGAAAAGATTGACTTGGAGGAAGAAGAGGAAGAACATGGCTCTGCTACCGGTACTAGTACTGCTACAGAGTACACTTCTGACGATATCTTGGAATCTCGGCAGACTCCCACCACCATGAGCCGCGAAACCGGCTCCACTGCATCCAGCTCGTTGGATACGATTACGAGACAGCGGCGAATGTTGTCGCCACCACCACCTAGGTTGGGTTCTCCCCCACCACCAAGGTTGGGATCTCCCTTTAGTCGTCAACGGCCCACCACAATGGATACTTTGTCGACATCGTCATCCACGGCTGATGAGGTTGATGGCGTCCCTGGAACTGTTGTACATGCGGATTCACCCTCTGCCAAACGTTCGGTCTTCAAACGTCGTGGATCACATGGAGTTTCCACCAGGCAGCAGCAACAGCAACATCACAGTTTCGCACCCATCAGTTCTTCCACCTCCACAGCTTCCTCCACCGGTGCGTCCACGTATTCTTCAGTGGTAGAGTCGGGAGAAGAAGGGGCCAACAATAATGCGGCAACAGCATCGACAGCAGAAGAAACAACCACCACCTCGACCCTGCACAAACCCGTCGCCACTCATGCCGGCAAGCACGATCTCAACAAAAATGAGCTGTCCACCCAAAGCAAAGCTCCCTCACCACTGCAGATCCAAGGCGATGTCACACCAGTTCATTCACCCTCCAGTCGATCCATCTTTAAGCGCAAGGCAACTCCTCGAGATATTGCCACGACCAGTAACGGTTTCGGCTCTGTGGAAAAGCCCAACAAGCAGGCCCAACGTCGTCCAGTGGAGACCAAAGTTGAAGGAAAAACCAAGAGGGGAAATAGCACTGTTTCGTCAACTAGTGGCAACAACAATAGTAGGAAGACATCGACGGGCACAAAACTAGAACCGACCAACAGCTCCAGATTCCGAAGGGGAAACAGGCCATCATTATCAGTTTCCACTCCACCAGAACCCGAAAGCAAGGGGCATAGCAATAGTAAGCCGAGGACTCCTACAAAAGATGGTAGCCCGTCTCCACGGACTCCCAAGAAATCACCCACGAATTCTTCCCCGATCAGTGTCATTGCGACTAGCCCGCGCAAGGCACCGAGAGAAAAGTTCACCTTTCAGAATGTAAACAGCAACAACAAGGTAGATGAACCCAGATCCGCCAATGCTCGGTCGAAACTGCAAACTAAAAAGCCCACAGAATCACCAAAGAGTGCCAAATCTTCCCCATCAAATAATGAACATAGAACCACGTCTCCTGCGTTGCAACGGTCCTTGTCTCCCTTAATGCAACGCAGACGTTCTCTGTCAAGGGCAAAAGAAGAGGCACAACAACAGGCGAAGGCCGCAGCCACAAAGACTACAACCACAAAGGCCACTACGAAGGCGATCAGTGAAATGAGCCCTCGGTTGTACGCAATGCGACGCAACGCGTCTCGGATAAAGGCTGCACAGGAAGTGCGCCACGAAACTGCCAGCGCTGCTGTTTCAGGTTCTGCTTCCAAAAAAGCATTGGATTTCAAATCGGAGCGACAACAAACTTCGTCACGGCAAATCACTGAACCTCCTGTGTCGACGAAAGCCTTGAAACAAGACGCCAAACCGGATGCACCGGGAAGCATGCAATCCAAACGAGCGACGCCGGGAACAGCAAAGCCCCCAACAGAGGAGAAAGCGAACATCCCTCGGAAACCTGTGGTGCGTACCAGATCGAGACGACTCGAAAACAGAAACCTGATGAGATATGTGGCTTCCGTGACTTCGAGGAGTAAGAGTGGATCGTCGCAGAATGAAGATGTGGCGCCAAGCCCTCCTGCCAGAAACGAAGAGCCACCCGCCACTGGCGAAAGCGGGCAACGCCTCAGAGCAGGACCGGGCATGTCATCTTCTTGGTCGCTGTCTACAACTGACTCAACTGAAGCAATGCTCAAGAGTTTTACCGAAGCTTTGGAAGAAGGAAAACCAATGCCAACGAAAACGATTCAGGTTGTCAACCACAATAGCACAGCACGAGATGAAGGAACCACGGACGGTGCTGACCAGTCCGCAGCAACTGTGGAGCATGCCAACAATTCAGGTGGTCCTGATGTCAATAAAGTTTTGGAGTATTCCAAAACACCAATGGAGGCTGCCCTCAAGCCTGCAGACGATCTTAGTAAAAGTTTGAATCAGTCCGTCGTAGTAGAACCCAACTGGAGTGCCCACCAACCCAACATTAATGCTGCATACATTGACGATCCAGGCGACAAAGGTACGGAGCAGCTTGCAGTGCCATCAACCGAACCTACAGTCCTTTTGCAGTCCACCAATAATTCTGCAAATAATGAGCATGAGGCCAGCAACACAGTAGCCCCACCCAGCCCAGTCGAACATCAGGCGGAAGAGCGCGGCAACTGCCAGGTGGCTCAGCCACCAACACCACAAGGGCAAGCCTCGACTGTCACAGAGGAGAAGGCCAAAGCAACGGAGGATCCAATGGAGTATGAGGGGCCCTTTGACGACGCCGAAACTCAGGAAATCATTCGAAAATACAACCAAATCTTGCAGCGAAGAATGGAACTTCTCAAGATTCAGCAAGAAGAGGAGCAGAGAAACTCAGCCAATAAGGGAACCGACGGAACCTGTTACATATCAGATGATGATGACGATGTTAGCGAAAAGAAACTGCATGGAGATGGCTACAGGGAAAGAGCCCAACTGCTGTTGGATTTTGAGGCTGGCTTGATGCCTCAACAAGTCACGCACACAAAGCAACCAAATGAAGGCCATGGGTTCATGCCAGTCTCAGGGAACCAATCGAGAAACCTGCACGAGAATTCGACACCTCTCGAGCTCGCACAAATGGAAAGTGGACCTCACCATCAGCAACCAACAATCGTACAAGCACGAGGAAATCAATCAACTCAGGTGCAGACACAAGAACAACAGCCACCAGCAAGGGCAAGTGAACAGCCAAGACAAATGCATGCACAAGAACAACATCCACCAGCAATGGCAAGTAAGCATCACCATCAACAACCAATACAAATGCAGGCACAAGAACAACAGCCACCGATGATGCCCATATCAATCGCCCACGACAACCATCCCAATGTGGGTTCCTTGCCACCACCTACTAGTTTACCCGGATGGGCTTCGTCCCAACCAAATGATAAAATCAGACATTCAGTGGAATCACCACACGATGGATTGGCTTATGACCACCAAACAGCAGTTCTGGCCCAGACCTATCATGGCAGCCAAGAACAAGAGCAGGAAACGATAAAAGTAAACATGCAACAAGAGAGGAATGTGATGGCTGTATCTCGATTTCCTCCTATGGAACCACCTTCTTCAATGGACCTAGCTTCAACCTCTTTCCAACCGAAAAATGTTGACAAAAATAAGATTGATCCACCAGCTGGAGAACTCATGTCTGGCGTGAGTGAATATGTCCATCGTGACGCTATTCTGGCCCAAACATATCATTCCAGGGAGCCACAAGAGCAATCCACCAATGGAATCACTGATCAATCCTTGCCCAAAGCAATCGAACCAGCTTCATTGTACACACAAGCAACCACATCAACTGTTTCAGCATACAATCATCGTGAAGCAATACTGGCACAGACCTACGATGGCAGACAGCCTGAAGAGCCTTCACATGGTGCTGGCATAAGTACTCAAGCGATATTGCCCAGAGAGAGTGGTCACAATCTTCATCTCGGTGGCATTCATCCTTTGTCGCCTCCCACTGAACCAGCGTCATCCAGCGAAGCAAGATCTGTAGACAGAAACACAGCGGAATTTCTGAGCAGAGAAACCACAGCGACGATGGGGGCATATGACCACCGGGAAGCAATTCTTGCACAGACGTATCATGGTAGACAGGAACAGCAAGGGCCAACTGGGCATCCGTATCAGTCTTACCACGCTGGGCCTACATCTCAATACAAAGCAGTCCCGACTTCATTTTATCCCAATGATTCTGAAAGAATTGACAATGATTCACCCGCTTTGAAATCTCACGGGATAGTGGCACATCCAGATCATAACACACAGGCACGAGTCGCCGCAACAAACGCTGTTGTCTCTCCGTCCGCGAAGGATAGAAGTCTTTATGACCACAAGTCGGCAATTCTGGCGGCAACTTATCGGCTGGGAGAGCAGCATCAACAGAAGCTTCAGCAGCAACTGGAAGTAGAACAGAGTCTCAGCGCTTGCGACGTTGTCCCTGTTCAATCCTTGTCCAGTAGCCCTCCTCCATACGATTACAACGAAAGCATGGTTTCTCAAGATGAACAGCAGCACGAGGTGCAACCAAACAATCTGGGGGGAGTACACATCCTTCAAGACATCAGTGAATTTCTACATACCGGAAAGCAAGCACCAGAGCTATCCACCAAGCATCTATTAGCGCAGCAAGAGGCCCGTCGGCAGTTCGTGCAGCAACAGAGGGGCCATTCTCACGGCATTGGAATCCCGGAACGTGCCGTCCCCTCAATGACTGCCAATACGCAGTCACAATACGCATTTCGAAGCAGCCACGAAAGCTCCAGTATTGATCTGAAGGTTGTTGATTTGGTCTACCCGAAAGAACACTCACTTGAGAGTGCCCCTCCTTTTCATGTAAGCGACGATCCCTCGCTTGACATCAGTTTGCTAGAGTCAACGTCTATCGCATCTTTGCCGCAAATGGAGCTACCGCCTCCCCCTCCGCCGCCCCCTCCACCGCCGCCTCCTCCTCGAACAACGATTACGGAATTTGCAAAACCGACCAGCATTCAAATTAGCACCGTAGACCTCGCGGAGCCTCCCCCACCTTCCATCACGCCCAGGACACCTGGAGACTCACGGCAAGCAATGTCCACAGAGAGCACACCAGCAACACCGAGATCTGAACGTTCCCCACGGAGATCTCCCAATGCCCGAAATTCTCCGCTGCAGGAGTTCGGCGAACCGTCACCCACTTCAAGGACGCCACGGGCGTCTGGTTCACCGAGTACGTTTGCGGAGTCTTCGGCCCGAAGTAGAGCGGCACAGGCTCCAATTCAGAGCAAGAGCACTAGCTTTGAGTCCCCCAAAGTCCCTACAGAAAGTCAAGACAGCAGCCTGGGCAGCCTCGGCACTGATGATCAGGCGAGCATTGAAGAAATTCCTGCCCCACCAAGCTCCCGTGAAGAGCAACAACGAAAGAATCGCAATCTGTTTCAAAAGTCATTCCTCGAGGCCACCAGCAGCCGCTCCAACAAGAAGTCTTGGTCTCGCAAGAAGCAAAGCGTCTTTACTGCGGCAACGAACGTTTCTGCTGCATCGTCAAAGCCCTCACGTGTCCAAGAATCTACACCGTCTTCTTTGAATCAAGGCAGCAAGAGCGCTTCCCCTCTTTCGATAATCACCAAACAAAGCTTCTCTCATGGGCCCAGAAACGAGCCTCTGTATGGAAAAAAGGCATTAAAAGCCAAACCATTCGGAAGGCGAACCAGGATTTCTTACCGGCAGTGTCGTCGTCGTTATCCTCCCTGATACACGATGAGCGAATGCATTCGGGATCTCTTGGCGCAACGTGGCAAGAGATCCTGCAGTTTCCATCCAGAACATTGACTCGAAAAGACATTCTCTGCAATCCCAACAACAGTGCCCGTTTCGGCCGATCACAAGATATCAAGCATTTCTGCTACTTATGTACTCACATGTTCCGGCCGGGAGATATTGTGCGGACTCTTCCATGCAGTCATGCATTCCACACGAGCTGCATTGATCCGGTGTTGTTCCAGCGAGCAAACTGTCCAAGGTGTAAACATCCTGTTGTCGTTCTTGAAATCTAGTTAGCCATGCATGATGCATGCATGATGAAGGGAGACTGAAACATACATGAGCTTGTCTCTCTCTTGATTCTCTGCTTCCACAATCCACCTCATACGATATGGATATGCTGAAGTCTTGGTTCGAAATGTGATGGAAGGCGTTGTTGGACAACATGCATCCAGCGAAACAGCTTTCGAAGCACACTGCACTGTTGCCAACACTATCAATGATCCCCTTCTAACTACCGTATGCATACAAATAGAAGAAGAGAGATACTTTGAATAAAAATCTATAACTATAGATAGACTGGCTACGATTGATATAAATATATAGAACACCACATGCAGTACAACAACACTACAACTCTCACACACACATAGAATCAGCAACCCCAAAAAGATCCACACCACACTACTTGTCGTCTTGGTTCGTAGTTTGGTCTTGCGTTCCTTGCTGTTGTTCTCTGGCTTGCGTTCGTAGATCGGTGACATTGAAATTGTACTTTGCGAGTAAGTTGTCGCATTGACTGGCTTGCAATACGGCCATGCCACAGAGTGTTTTGCAAATTTCAATTTGAATGCGAATATCGGGTTGTGCGAGATTGACCTTCCACCCTTCACCCGTAGCTTGATCGACTTGGTTTCCAATTTCGTGAATGACTTGATCGCGTGTCAAGTGTCCACAATTTCGTTTCTTGAAGTGAATGGCAAACGTGACGTCCTTCTTGTCGTTTGGCAAGTTTGGAAGTACGAGATGATCGAGAATGGAACGAAAGGTGAGTTTGATTTCTTCGAGGGAGGCAAAGCAAGTAGCTTGTAAGGGAATCATGCGTCGAATGAATCTGGATCCTGGAATGTTTTTGGTGGTTTCATCCTGAATGTCGGTCATGACTTGCCGCACTGTGGCCAGGGGATCCCAGGGGGGATTGGCATTGGCAGTATTACTACTAGTAGTTTGACTAGCACTGACAGTGGTTGCATCTGCTGCTTCACCTTTTTCTTCCTCTTCCTTTGTAGGTGATGTCTTGGCCTTTTTATTTTTGTCTTCACTTTGCTCCTTTCCATCTTCAATTGGTGGATCTTCAGTTTCAGTTTCTGGCTTGGAGTTACTATTATTTGTAGTATTGATACTTGGAATGAGATTAGGATTTGGGAGCATGCACAGGATCATCACGTTTCCTTTACAGCCAGTGTCATAGTGAGCAAAGGGTTTCTTGACATTCTTTCTTTTACTCTTCTTTTTGTCATTGTCATTGCTGTTTGAGTTGCTATTGTCATTGGCAGACTCTTTGAGTTCCGCCAATTCTTCTTCCAAACTCAATTTTTTGTCATCTTTTTCACTTTTACTTTCTTCATTTTTAGTTTCTTCCTTTGAACTTGTTTTAGTTGCTTGCTTCTCTAGATAGTACTCTAGAATTTCCAATCCTTCTCTCTTTGCTTTCCCATCTCTTCCAGTGTCACACGTGACGAGGACTCCTGGACCTCCACGTTTCGGTTGCCATTTCAAGTTGTTGTGAGCAGTTGTCAAGTACTGACGCTTTCTCTTGCCCCTATTACTACTATTGCTTGTAGTGTTGTTGCTGTTGGTGCTCATGGTGGGTTCTTCTTGGTCTGATCTTCTATAATAATATCTATTTAGCTATGGCTGTTTTCGTTCTTCGATCTCGTTTTTGTGTGTTTTGTGGAGCTTCCCCCTTTTGGACTTCCACGCGGAAGCAGCTTGTTGCTTGGAGTGACGACCGTTAGCATTGAGCGCATCTAATTAATTCAAATCTAGACTCACCAGTAAAGTTACACATTCAGGACGTCAAATCTTCTTGGATTTCGATTATAGTTACAATCAGAATCTTGATTTGTAACGTTTATGGTCATCTGTGGTGCACCGAGCTTCAGTATCCAAAGTCATCCAAATTGCGACCATGACGAAAGGTGCCGTCGCCTAAGCTCTCTACTGATACACAACAAGAAGGACAGAGGCTCATCACTTCTAAAGGTCTCACTCATCAGGCAAAGAGGCAACAGCTCGACTGTGTGGTGGCAGTACTACTGGTAGTACTAGTGGTGGTGGAGAGATCAGTGGTCAAGAGACAAGAGCAAGGAGTGCTCTACTCCACTCTAGCTAGCTAGCTACTAGTGCTAGCACTCCTCTCCTCATCAGATCAGATCAGATCAGATCAGAAGCATCTACTGAAGAGCAGAGGAGAAGTTCAGTAGCATCAGAGAGGAGGAAGAGCTGAAGAGTTGGACCTTCAGTGTGACTGAGGCAAGACAAGACAAGACAAGTCCATTGGCATAAGCTAGACAGACCACTAGTTAGCATCTAGCTACTGTATAGCAAGGGCAAGGCACTGAGTTTGGCTTACGGTGGCTTAAGGCGGACAAAGACAAAAGCTCTCTGAGATCAGTGAGTGAAAAAGAGGTCAGGTGTGATCAGGTCAGGTCAAAAGAAGAGACTACTAGGTACTATCTAGTGCAAGCTAGTAGATCAGGTTGATCAAGTGAAGACAGTGGTTTGATCAGATCAGGTCAGGTCAGATTGATCAGGTAAAAAAGACGACAATTCATTCTATTTTTGAGTGTCAGCAAGGAAGACAAAGCCAAGATGGCAGCAAGCAGTGTGAGTCAAAATGACGCCGTGTCGATGCTGACTGCGCAACCCGGAGGCGGCATTCAGTACTACAGTTGGCACTTGAGTTTACGCGTGGATCGTCCCGTGGAAGGCTGTGCCATGAGGCCTCATGCGTACATGTACTCCAAGAAACTGGATGAACGAGATCTCGACAAGCCATTGCCCAGCCATTCCAAAAAAATGAGAGAACCGCCACCGCATCACGAATTCGTCTATCGATGGTTTCGAGGACCTCCCGAAGAGCCCTGTGCGTACGATGGATGTCCTCGTCGCACGTCCTTTTCGCCTCATGATTGGTCGCTCCACGCACTCGGAATGAGACACGGCGTCATGCCCAATACCGTCAAAACACCCGCTGCCTGTCGATTGCAGTGTGTCTCCACACAGTCGTCACTATACATGTGCACCTTTTGCAACTCAAAATGCTTTGTACAGGCATGGAAGACACAATACACCATGCCCAGAAATAATAGTAATGGAGGAAATGGAACCTATACAGCCAGTTCCTACAATGCACAACAACACGCACAACAACAAGCCAACAGTCGATCCACGACACCCACACCCTATGGAGGAGGAGGAAATCATCACTTACGCAGTCCTTCTTTTGACGACACGGCATCCGTCGGAAGTCAAGGATCCACCGGACGCATCCAAATGGGAGCACGATCCCCCATTCCACCGGGGACCCCACGGGCCGGATACAACAATTACGGCGGCTACAACCCATCGAGCAACAATAATGACGAAGAAGAATGGATGGAAGTTTCTCGCGATCAAATCTTTATCCCCGGACCGGACGATGTCGGACGCAAACTCAAATTGGAAGCCGCCGCTTACTCCCACGATTCCATGGGCGAACGACTCATGTATCGCGTCGTCAAGACCGATTTGGTGCTGGCGAGAGCACCCGATCCGCCCACACGACAATTGGTGGTACACAAACAAGGGCCCGCCGGTGCCGCCATTAGCACCACGACGGCACAAACTACTGCGGCCAATTTGCCACTCTCCTACGGTAATCATCCGGGAGCGCGATTCCGGGTTGTCACCTACAATGTACTCGCGGAAATTTATGCCACGCAGCAACAATACCCCTACTGCGATTTTTGGGCACTCTCTTGGGATTATCGGTGCGTATCTCATCAAGCTTCTACTGCACTGCATGCTCGTGTATCAAATTGTATTTTGATTGCTGTTGGACTCATGTATTTATTTGTTCTTTTTGTTATTCATTCCTTTGTTTTTTCAGGTTTCAAAACATTCTTCGAGAAGTCATGGACGCCGCCCCGGAAGTCGTATGTCTCCAAGAAGTACAAGCCGATCACTACGAAAGTCATCTATATGCCGCAATGAGTGATGCAGGATACGAAGGGGTCTACAAACAAAAGACAAGACAGAGTATGGGACTCGCTGGAAAGGTCGATGGATGTGCGCTCTTTTGGAGGCGAGCGACATTTCATCTAGTTGAATCATACAGCATTGAATTCAACGAACTCGCACAAAGACAAGCCACACAGTTGGGACTCAACACCAACAATCACGGACGTGGCAGTGACGAAGGAGTCGCTTTTCTGAATCGATTGTCCAAGGATAATGTCGCACAGCTCGTCGTACTCGAACTCGCACAACCGCCACCCTCGTCGTCCTCCTCCAAGGGCGCCAATTCCAACACACAAATCTGTATTGCCAACACGCATCTATACTCCAACAAGGACTTTCCGGATGTCAAACTTTGGCAATGTTGGCAGTTGTTGCAAGAACTAGAGACTTTTGTCATGAGTCGGGGTGGATCGCCCAACAGTTTGCCTCTCATTATCTGCGGGGATTTCAACTCTACGCCCGACACGGCCGTCTACGAGTTGTTGTCGCGACAAACGGTACATCCCGGACACCCCGATGTCAATGTCAATTACACGCAACAACAACAAAATGGTGAAGACGTGCCCAACATTTTGCCCGATGCCCACAACATTACGCACAGCTTTCAGTTGGGGAGCGCCTATCAGACCGTGCTGGGCGAAGAACCCAAACAAACCAACTACACGGGGCATTTCAAGGGCGTACTGGATTATGTCTGGTACAGCATCCCGTCTCTGCGTCCGTTGTCGGCAGCGCCCATTCCCGATGAAGGAATGCTGACGAGACATGGAGAAGCCCTGCCCAGTACAGAGTTCAGCTCCGATCACATCATGTTGATTTCGGACTTTCAAATATTGCCCGGAAATGGTGGAGGCAATAGTGGCTTGGGGGTAAGACCGTAAGACTGCTAATTTCAGTAGTAGAGGTCGACTTGCAGATGTTGTTTGTTTGTTATTTTAAATAAATAAATGTGGTTGGTATGGATGGACTGCATTGTTGGTTGGAAAAGGATTTGGAAAGTGTTGGAATGGAAGCAACGTTGGAGAGTGAAGGAACGGAATCGAGAAAGGAATGGTGGGAGGGAGCCAGCACATCCTAGACATGTGACGACTTGGTGGAACGGAGAGATCCGGAGGTGAGAGTCAAGTATTGTGGGGCGAGATCGATCTCGAATGGGCATCCCCATTTTTGTGGTCTACAGTACGGTACGGTACGAGCATCGTATTTTTGAAGCTCTGCGAGCTGGCGGGTCGAGCAATAATAGATATGATGTTTCATACAGCATTTCACGTTGCTGTGATGCGCTGTGCTGTACCAGTATGGCGTCGTTGGTCTTCGGTCTTCAGTACGGTGCCGGGGAGTTCATCGATTAAATAGATCCATCATACATTCCAACCCCAAGGATAGTGTTTTCGCTTTTTCACGCCAGAAAACGGGCACGGTGGCACCGGTACAGGCAGCCAGAATTGGATCTGGCCTCTCCTCCCCAAGATCCTTGACGAGGGGCGTTCTCCCTCTATCTTTAAAGCAAGGTGTGGAAACAGGATTTTGCTTACTGGTACGATCCTTTTTGACGCTTGAAAGGGGAGAACGCTTGGAGGCCAGACCCACTGGAATCCAGAATTGGATCTGGATCTTACTCTTGCGTTCTCTCTCAAACATCAGTGACACGAGGGCATTCTCCCTCGATCTTTAATACAGCAAGGGGAGGCAACAGGATTTTGCTTACCACCTTGAATGGTTGGTCTCAACTGGATCTGGATCTTGCGTTCTCCTCTCAAAAAGAGGCGACACGACGAGGGCGTTCTCCCTTGAGAGGATTTTTGCGTCCGAACTTTGATTGCATGGTTGGTCTCATAAAGTATTGTTTTGAGCCCTCAAAGCTCCTTCTCAAGAAAAACTTCGTCATCTACTTTATCATCATCATCATGGGATTCTTTTCCAACCCCAAGAAGCCCACCCGTGCATTCGTCAAGAATCCAAGCAAGGTCATTGCGAACGATGTAAAGAAGATCATCAATGGCAGCCATAGCCATCCTGTTCCACTTCCCAATGGCGGTGGGCATGTGACGCCTGGTGTTACGATTCAAGGCGGCAAGGTCACCGGTGGCTCGATTGGCGGTCAGTTCAACCTCTAGCTAGACCGGAAAGTTCACGCGTCGGCACCGTTCAATCATTGTTTCGACACATCATTCAATGATCGTCAGAAAAAGAAAAATGTACTGGTTGGATGCAGAGACTATGGTAGCAGTAAGAATCCAAATAGTTCACTGTCTTTCTAATAAGAACATTATGTATCTCTATGAATCTGAATGTAGCTACGGAAAATGATGCTCTTTGTGTAGTGGAATCTTTTGCTGCGCTCAACACTTGATTGCTTGATTGGATTGACTTGGCTTGACTGATTGAATCATTCATTCATTCATGCATTTGCTTAGAAAGCTCCAAATCGAGGAAGGGCGGGTCTTCCTGCCTTGATACTTCTGCTGCTCCTGCTACTACGGATACTAGTAGTGCTCCCCAGAGATCTGGTGGAAGTTTCTTGTTGTCCTCGACGTGAGTTTTCTCGAGTGCAGATTTCAGCGCATGCTGTCGCTTGATCAAAGTTGGTTCGTGCAGATTCATCTTGACCGAAAAAGGCGTCGTGAAAGGAAGTTCCTGGTTGCAGCGTGATGGCTCTGACGCGGCGTTGTGTGCGGCGTGCTACTGTGGACAGAGACGAAGTGGAAGATGACAACGAGGCCGTGTCCGAAATATCCGAGAGATCAGAGCAAGTGGACACAGAAGAGGAGATGCGACGAAGTTCAGGAGACATGATTGTAAGGATGTGCTTGTAGTGCTACTGTACTAGACTGATGAGGTGTTGGTTGGTTGGTTTGTTTGGTTTTTGCTTGTGTCAAGTTGATTTTGTGAGAAGAAAAAGGATCTGAAGATGGTCTCGGATCCTTCCTTTCGTGGTTCTGAATGAGCAAGAACTAACTTCAAATGATTCAGTCGTTCTCATTTAATTAAGGGTGGTGTTGACCTCAAAACTGCTCAAGAACATCGCTGTTGTTCAATGTTGATCGATTGCAAGCTGTACTACCAGGTACTGTACCAGTAGACTACCTTGCCAAACATGACATCATTCAAATTGTGCGTCACTTGAGTGACTCGGCTCGACTAGACTCCGTCGGAGTGACTGAGTCACTCGTCACTCGGTCGAGTCGATATGGCGATGCGATCCCACACCACTCGCCGACCGTGACAGGGGAAGAAACATGCAGGTATCGCGCGAAGCGCGAAGTATCGTCCCGGGGGAGAGGAGGAGGGGGCCGCGCAGCGGCCTAGTAACAAAGAGGGGAAGAGGAGGGGAGACCAACAAGAATAAGAACAACAACAAAATCACGACTTTTCCCATGGCGTCGCGACCCATCCCGACGACCGCAGGAGGTCCTAAGAGATAGTAGTAATAGTAGTAATAGCAGTAATAGATGAAGTGTTATTGTTGTTGACTGTCGTTCATAGGATTTCACCATGGTCGCAATGTTTTTGTCTTGTTGTTGTTGGAATTGGGTGTTTGGGGGCGAATTAGACGACAGTTGCGATTCTTGGCTCTAAGTAAGGAGTCGCCGTCCGTTATATCTTTACTCGTTTCTTGATGTTTCCTGAATAAGTCTCTGAGCGAGCCAGAGACCAGGTGAAAAAGTGAGACTCTGTCAACGGATGCCCTGGGACTGATTTAGTGACACTCGCGATTCACCAGAAGCAACTATTTGGCTCAGCGTGGCCTTTATTCATTTTCTGACAATGACCATGGTGTAAAACGGACCGATAGCAACATGCCAGCTAACGACGTTACATGGACTCGCAACTCAGGAGGGCACCGCCCTAACCCAAGCGAACAACCAGCCATTCAGCTATTTGACAAAGTGATGGATCCCATTAAGTTTGGATCGATTACTGTGGAGGACTTGGTTGGTGACCATGGTCTCAATCTGATGAGTGACTTCTGTACTCGCATCGGTCAAGATCCTCCAATCGGCCAGAGAACCAACAAGCCAATGGTCGCTTCCGCAATATGCAAGTATATAGAGGCCCTGTGCAAGACACTTAGAACAAAGCATGGCCGGTCGCAACAATTTTTGAATTTTCCTCTATTTCCTCCTTCCGATGTTAACGGCCTCAAGAAAACTTTCACAGATTTGCATGGCCGAACACTCATGCAGGGAACGGACGATGATGCGATCCTGCGGGACTACTACCCCATTCCTCGTGAACATTCGCCGAGGACCAAGCTACTGCCACTCCATGATTTTTCCAATCCGCAGCAGCACCAACTCGCCCGGAGTGTGGATCTGCTCCGCGTGGCAAAGAGACTTCTTCAGACCGAACAGATCACGGAGCTACTGATGCTACTGATTACGAACAATGCAGTGGGCAGAGGTGGTGAATGCAAGTTTTTGAGTTATGACAAGATGTTTTTTGATTGCTATTTCAACATGATTTTCTTTCAGTGGTTCCAGAGGAAGGAGCTGAAGACCAGTCCATCCGCCTTCGTTCAGGACTTCGAGCATCCGGAGTGTGTGTCCTCTTTGGATTTGGTTTGTTTTGGTCACTTTGCAGTGGATTGGTCCGGCCAGCCGCCATGATGGCCTCTCCTGGCACGCCAGTCTACCGACGATCCAAGTTTGTTTTCCAGAACATGCACGAAAACCAGGATAGCCAGGTGGCTGCCTCGTTAACCACCATCATTCGCTCCTGCGTGCACCACCAAATTCAATCACACTACACTGTGAAGAGTTTGCGTGCTGGAGCAATGTCTCGTTTGGCATGGCTACCCACTGTTACTTATGAAGAGTGCATTGCTTGGGTGGTTGGAGCACCAAAGCTAGCCGCGATTGGTATGTCTGGCAGTATTTGGTGGCAGTTGTTCCAGGTGCTCTTGCTCTGGCTGGATACCCCGATCCTCGTCAATTGCCATATGCTCCAACCTGTGAGATTCTTTTTGCGGATAATGACCAATCTAAGGTATTTGCGAGAAACAAGTTCCAACAATTTCAGAGAGATATGTTCCCAAACAGTTTGCCGGAGCTTGCTCCTGGTGGTCGACTTCGGCCTTTCATGGACGTTGTGACAGCTGTCATGATCAAGAATTACCGGCACATGGAAGACAAGTACGGCGCTGATCACAGGTACACGCATCGCATGAAAATGGTGGTCCACAGTGTTGGATTGGCTCCAGATTTAGTGGAAGCCTCAGCGAAGCTGCGCTATTGGTCCAAGAAAATTTTGGATGACACGGCAACCAACACCAACAAACAACAGTGGAGTACTGCTACGTGCCACACTATCCGACAAACTACATGAATTATCCAGCAGCGTGGGAGATTTACTTCGGAGCCGCCAACAAGAACAGCTCAATCATGCCCTTATTCTTAGCTCCATCGAGGACTTGAAGTCAGGCCAATCCGATGTTGCACAGGCTGTTCGAGATCTACAGACACAAGTTGCGCAGCTTACAACGCTCGTACAACAAAGCAATCTACGAGTATCGCGAAGCCCTGCACCATCTCCTCGTAGATCACCACGGCGACAGCTGCAACAACAACAAGAACAACCACCGCCAGTTCCTACTCCACCACCACCGCCTCCTCCACCGCCAGTTATTCTCCACGCCGACTTCCACTCATTCCACTTATTAGAGCTGGATCCAACAATGACCCAGCTGGAAGAGGAAAACGAAATCGAGAACGCAAAATTGTTAACATCCTACTGGCTCTTTACCAACACGATGACTTCCACAATCTACGGATCAATGTGCAACTTCGCTCTTTGGCCAACATCGTGAACCTGCGGACACAAGGTGACAACAGAAACTTGAAGAAGGTGGAAGCAGCGTTGGATCTGGTTGACTGCCTTTGGTCACCCGATACCAGAACAAAAGCAATCAACAAGAGCTTCTCTGATGAAGCTACGGCTACGCAAGCTTTCAAGGAGGTGGACGAAAGAGTTAAAAGAGCCTGTCACATCTACGACGCTCCAGGCGACAACGTGCTCCCCAATTCAAGGCGCTCAACAGCTGTTATTGGAGTAGGGAACCTCATCTTGAAGAGGGACCGCGAGCCCTTTTTAAATGCCATCAGAGCCAAAATGCCAAAGTGGAATCGCATTCCACCACAAGCCGGTGATCTGTGGGGCACCGTCATTGTCAAAGAGAATGCCATCAAAGCAAGGGTTGGAACACGTCGTCGGAGATAAACAACAAGGCGGCGGCATTTTTTTGTGGTGGCAAGGGATCGGTGTAGGTTGACGGTGAATTGGAGCAGTGGTAGAGACAGTGTGGCATTGGTTGGTCAGCGCTTTGTTTTGCGTTGGCTGTTGTTGCAATTGTTGATGTTGTTGTCATTGTGCGGCAGAGAAAAATAAAATGGCATAGCCTCCGGCATAGCCCGAAGGCGGCATCAAACACAGCTGTCGTTTTGGTTGGTGGTGGGTAGCAGTAGTGGTAGTCGGTCGGTAGTGGTATCGGTGAGAGACCATAATGCTAGCTGTTGTTGCCAAGAGCCTTGCCCCTACCGAAGTAGGCACTGACTTCAAGGCAAAATAGCGCAGCAATCAAGGGAGTAGTAGTAGTAGTTGTTGTTGTAGTTGTTGTTGTTGTTGTCTTTGTAGTAGTAGTAGTAGTAGTAGTAGTAGTAGTAGTGTTGTCATTTGTTGTTTGTTGTTGTAGTAGTAGTAGTCAACCAGTAGTTGGGACACTGAATTGGATGGACGTTCGAGTGTGTTCTCACCGGTTGGTGAAGGCGGATTCAAACCAATTGTTTCATTCTACACAGGTCCTAGTACAACATTGTCGTATGTACATCCTACTACCCTCCTACCTATACTCCTGATACTTCCGTCTGCCAATAAAGAAACACCCAAGTTTCGGCCGAAGGGGTGTTGGTGAGTAGAGGTTTTCGAGACATACTACTGAATGTGCACACAAGACTAGTCCACTGTGCCCACTTGTACTATAGTTTATTTACTTAGATGAATTCAAATATTCGAGTCTAACTCTTGTGTGACCGTTTCAGTCTTGTGGAATATTGGAAGACTTATTCGCAGAGGTGCACCGTACATCTCCAAAGGTACGTCCTCACAATTTGATCTCCGTAGAGGTTGGCAAACGTCGTCGAGTCATTGAAAGGCTACATTCCACTACAGCAGAGCTACTACATCACCATGTTGTTCAGTGCCAGTCATGTATTTAAAGAGTGGCTAGATGTTAATGATCGCTACCCTTACAACGAGATGAGGAAAACCAGGCAGACATATGTATGCAAGCATGTTTTGCTAGAGGATCAAACAGACAGGGAAGATCCTAATACTCAGTACTATCTTGTGAAAACTAGATACCTGTCCAGTGGCATCCTGGAGCAACTCATCATGGAAGGGAATGCGCTGCCAATGACTCCTGATCAGACTTGGCTCTTGGAACAGATGTTTGTGTGGGGTATCAGGCACAGCAATGAATGGTACAGTGAAGTTCTTGCTGAGCTTGCATGGGAAGTGTATGAGCATGAGCCTGTCACAAGGAAAGAGATGTGCAGAGAGGCAATCAAACCACTTATGAGAGGTGCCCTTCACCAGCAAGGTATTGGTGGTGACCATATTGAAGTCAAGTCATTGTTACTTACAGAGTGGGAAGAGTGGTTTGACAGAGAGTGTTGGGGCCAGCACAAGAACAACCTGAGTGGCATGGCAATCAGTAGTGAGCAGTACATTTCCCACAGGGCTGCATTCACTCTTCATCATGGTGGCTATTCTTACCCAATGTATTGAATATGTTCCAGCTCTTGAGAAGAAAGGAAGCAACAGCTGTAAGACTTGTTGTTGTTTGTAATCCAGTTGGTGTCACAGTAACAATAGTCAAAACTTACAAGAAACTGACTCATACCAATCAGCCACAGTAGATGCCTGCCATGGGTGGATTTCTTTGGTGCAGTTGATGCCAAAACCATTTCCATGGCAGTCAGCTCTTTCTCTGCATCTTCCACAATAGTCTCTTGTACATGTAGCAGCAACTCCTTCATCACAAACAACATGGTTGCTCCTCTTGAAACCACATGTCTTGCAATATTTCCTGCTCCTGAATCGCCGCCTTGTAGGTCTGGGTGGCTCTGTAGTTGCAACTTGTGTCATGAGAAGTGGAAAGGCAGTGGCAGTAGTCAGGTTCCCAGCTCTTCCAGCAGCAACAGCTCCAACAGTAACATCTGCATTGAGGACAGTTGGATTTCCCAACGGAGTTTCTCCATTACCAACATAAGCGGCAGGGGCTGTGTTGTGTATAATGGGAGCTGCTGTCGCAGGAATGCTTTGCCGGTTGTTTCGAAGCTGCCCATCGAGTCGGTTTCGGTCGTTGTCGTCAGTCGGCAAAACACCTTGTAAACTCCTCAGCTGCTGTAATTTGTCATAATGCTGCTGTAATAGCAACCGACTCTTGTACCTGATCTGTATGACCTCTGATTGGTCGCCCTCAGTGCTCCAGAGCTTGAATCTCCTAGACACTTCCCCATTCCATTCTCGTTCGAAGGATTTGAAACTGGTAGGTCCATTTGTGGTGTGCCGATTGAACCGACTTACCCAATCGTCAAACACACTGGCTTCCTCTCTGTCGACAGCAGTGGCAGGTGTTGAACTGTCTTGGGATCGAAAGGGGATCCACTCACAATTGTTGGTGAGGCGACGAAAGGCTTCAAGGGTAGATTCTGAGGAGCTATCCAAAGGAAGAAGACGATTCAGCTCTTGTTGAATGAGCAATCGATTAGCTCGATCATTGGCTTCAGCTCTTTCGCTTGCTTCGTTGAGTGCAGCGTTTTGGCGAGTGCGATTGGTATTGGCCGTAGTTGCTGCCAAGTACTCTTCTTCAGTGCCAAAGGCTTCAATATCAAGGTCGTCCCCTAATTCTCTTCCGATGGTTCGCTCAATTTCAAGCTGGGACGCTGGAACTTAGTCGTTGTCATCGGCATTGGCGATATCGTCCTCCTCATTATTTTCACCTGAATCGTAGCCATCAGTAGTGCCATCAGTAGGATTGGACACTTCTGTAGTCTCTAGCATCGATTGATAAGAGAATCCCATGAATTCCGGGTATTCCTCTTGTTGCTTCTTTGGTGCTGCCAAGTCATAGGGTAGATCGGTGAAGCCCACCTTCTCTGCATACGCATTAAGCAGCAAAAGCTTCTCTGTGTTGACTATTCCATAATCCTTTCCACCCAGCCGGATCACTGTCTTCCTGTCATTCCGTTCTTCAAAAAAGCAGCACATAATCCTTTCGCCCCGGTGCAAACCTAGTCAACAATTGAGATGAGCCGGTGAGGTTTCAGTGGTGAAATACGCGACCTTACAATATGCACCAACTTGAAGTTACCAATATATGTGGCCACCAACAAGTCGCCAAATCAAGATTGTCTCTTTCGTTGGTGTTTGTACCCCGGGCCACATAAGTAACATCATTGGCTGGATTGCGACGGAAGATCTCGACCAGATGGCTGGGTGGATCACTCAAACAACGATTATCCACATGGATCATTTGTTTCCGTACAATATCAGTAAGTTTCCACTGTTTCATGAACAGCTTTGGACGTGGTGAGTTATCATCGGCTTGCCGGGTAGACAAGATCCTGTAAGTCTCTGCATCTTTGGTTTGGATGTAGTTAATGACTGCCTCCACATTGCTTCGAAGCTGAGCTGGTGGAGGGATGATGGACTTAGCTTCCTTCAAAACCTCCTTCACGGTTGGTTCTCTCTCCAACTTGTCTTGAAGCTTCTCTTGTGCTCTTAGATATTCCTGGGGCAGGATTACAAACAAAGCACGCGACATCAAACCACGGAAGATACCAGCTTGAACAGAAGAGGAATCCACCATTAAATCATTCCTTCTCTTCAACCAATGAAAGGGATCCAATAGGATCATGACGTTTGGGAATATCTGCTTCAGGATGTTCTTCACATTGCAACAGTTGTCCACATAGACCACCTTGACGCTGTTTTGGGCTGGACCGATTGGATTTCCTTGAGCCGCATGGGAATTTCTATTCAGTCGATCCCTCATCCTTATTAGATCCTCCTTGATCTCGCTGAAGGACTCGGATTGCTTCAGAGCTTTCCAGAAAACTGTTAGACCATCCTCATTTTGAATGGTGATGATGCACTGGAATGGTTGGAAGCTGCATCCTTGCTTGGTCCACACTCTTATCTTTTGGCCAACTTGTAATTGAAATCAATCTTCAGAAGGGTGGCTGTTAAACCTCGCATCTTCTCCTCCTGAAAGGAGCGTCGGTGTTGGAAGACGCTGGAAACAAGACTGTCAATTCGATACTTGGATAAAACTCGGCCATTGTACCCCAACTTGTCACCGAATTCTGAAAATGCCACGAGCTCTTCCCCTCCATCATCAGTGGCTGCCGTGGCTGGAACTTGTTGAGGTGTTCCATGTTCTCTCTCGTAATCAACCAAAGCATCAACCGACTGATTATAGCCTTCAATTGCGCGGTCAACATCCAAGTTCCTGGAGGACACAACTTCTTTAAGCTGGTCATAATGAGCGCGAACAATTATCTGCCAGTTCCGCATCGGCTTCAGTGTGGGGTAATCCCTGTAATTGGCTCCCAGTAATTCAAAACAGGTTTCAATCCCATGAGCCAACAATTTACGGATTTTGGTGGAACCAAGGCCTTTCAAGAAATTCCGACTTCCATGGTGGTTGTGGTTGTCCTTGGTTGACAGCATCGACTTAAAAGACCAATCTGCAGAAGCCCTATTCTTTGCCGAATCATATCTGGATCTGGCGGTACGAACGTCAGCCTTGGCCTTATTGTTGTTGTTGATTAGACGTTGGTGGGCAGTGCAATTAATTGTGGGATTGTCTTCTGCTTTTTCTTTGGACGGATCTTGTCAAGTCCTATTGCTGTAAGATAAAGCTGGTGGTCTTCATAATATGCCATGTACGCCATTCGAACAAGCTTTTTGGCAATTGCCGCGGTGGCCTCTTTGTAAGAGCTCTCGACAACCAAGCTGTGTAGGTTTTCATCCACCGCGAATCCATGACCAAGATAGAATGTAAAGTATCCATAGTACAAAGAAGAATCCAGCTGCATAGATCCCTTGTTGTAGCCAGCAAATCGTCTTCCACACCTAGTACAAAGGTAGAGCATTGTGTCCAGGTAGCGGATTCGCGAGACACCAAATAAGACTTTTGGACAGTTCACCCATCTGGATTTCTTCAAGTCCACAGCATTGCGCTTCTTGCAGTGTGGACAGCAAGGTACATGGTGCGGCACAAGTATATGAGGAACCCATGCAGCGACAGCCTTCACGTAGAAATGCTCCGCGGTGCTTTTTCTTCCACGCTGGTCCAACAGCATGCTGTCAAACCTGCCGCCCTTGGTTGGAGTGATATTCCTCCAGTCTCTTGGTGGTTTGAAGAATCCCTTGTTGTCATTGTCAATGGCTGTCCTTGTCTTCAACACAAACTGCCATTGAGGCTCAGACAGTTGCTTTGGCTTGCGGCGAGTTGTCATGGTCGCCGTGGAGTAATGGAATGTGACTTCTTTGTTGTCATTGGAGTGGATTCGAATTTTCAAAGAGAGGGTAGGGTTAAGGACCGAAATTTCAAGCTCTAAGTACGAATATTTGGGAGAGGCAGGAACGGTGTGGTATAAAGTGTAGAGTTTAAGCTTAGAAAGAGACACCAAAGAACGTGGAAGATATAGAGGTGGGACATGCAAATGCTACACGTGGAAGCAGATAAGGGTAGAGGAGAAAACGATCGACTAAAAGGACGCTCACCCTCCCCCCCCTCTTCTTTTTTCCTCCTGGAAGGAACCAAGACGGATCAAGACCATCCATTCTCACTCCCTTCGAACCGGTTCCATCACCCAAGCACCCAAGGACAGCTGTAGTCGCCGAGCTCCGTCCTCATCCGCTGCTTCCTTGCGCCATCCTACTCCAACAACAGTGTTGCCCCGATTGCAAGCGTCGCCTCCATTTGATTTAGTTGCCGGAGACTAGGAGCTAGCGATATATCATAGTACAGTACAGTAGCATCACGATGGACAAGCCCGAAACAATAGAGGAGCAAGCTGTCACCGTTGACGAGGAAAGTGTCGCGCAAGTCAATGGAGCAGGTACAAGTGCTGCCACACAACGAGCATTGCTGGCTTATGCGGAAGAAGAGGCCAAAATTTCTGCACTGAAAAATGCGGTTCCAAAGCAAGGAGGAGCCTCACCAGAGCTAGATGAAGACCCAATGGATATAAGCAACATCATGGCCCTACCAGAGTCAACCACTGATTCGGGGCTTCGTCGAGGAGCCAATCTACATGTCACTGTACCTGGAGCATACCTGGCTGGGAGCTCGAGACACCCTCCTCGTCGTACCAGTTCTATTGATTATGGCCTTTTGCGTGCTGGTAGTAGTAGTAATTGTGGTTTCACTCTTGATGATGGGGCTGGAAGCGGTGCCGCGGTCCCTGCCCCAACTACTGCCGAAGCTACTGCTACCGGTAACGGCAACGAGCAGTTGGCGCAGGCCAATGCAATCGACGATGATGCAGATAAGGCCAGCTTATCTCAACAAGCCAGACCCGTTGATCTGGATAAAATGCTACGACGGGAGAAGAAAATGAAGAAACAGAAGCATTGCTTCATTGCCACTGCCATCTTCTTGTTGGTTTTGGTTGCTGCTACTGTGCTCGGATCTGTGATTGGTTCACAAAAGCGAAATGAACAAGAGGTGGTCATCCTGCTCTCCACAGAGACTCCTTCTGTGTATGTATCCGTGGAACCCTCAGAAGTACCATCTTTTGCTCCTACAGCTGCTCTGGATTTGCTCTTGACAGATTTGCCAGACTACACTCTAAAGAGTCTTGAAGAATTTGGCACTCCCCAGTGGAAAGCATGGGAATGGCTCTCCCTCCATCAAAACATTACGAACCTACCAGAGTGGAGAAAGAAACAGCTCTTTGCCCTGGCCACCTTTTTCTTTTCCTTTGAGGGGGAGAATTGGCGTGTCTACATTAAAGAGAGATGGATGATTGACTCAAGAGATGAGTGTTTGTGGTTTTCCAGCGGGGAAGGCCTGTTCCATGCTGAAGACACTTCCCAAGAGTTTGCGCCTGTTCCTGAACGTTTCAGAGCAAAGGGGCTGCCTTGCAATGACCGCGGACAGTTCACATCATTGTTTCTGATGAATTTGGAGCTTTCTGGTCTCAAACCAACCATCCCACCGGAGATTGCTCTGTTGACATCGCTATCCGTATTGGACCTTTCTAACAATGGAATCCAAACGTCTCTTGATGATCTGATTCCCCCAGAACTCGCTCTCTTGACAGATCTGAGAAGATTCTGGCTGTCTCGGAATGCCCTTACGGGCTTGCTGCCAACTGAGATTGGCTTGTTGACCAGATTGAAAACTCTGAACTTGCAGGCAAACAAGCTTGAAGGCTCCATACCACACAAAATACTTTTGCCCAGTTTGACTGTTCTCTTTCTATCTGAAAACATGTTCACTGGTTTGGTTCCAACAGAACTTGGGTTGTTGACCCAATTGACCGAACTATATCTTTCTGGAAATCTATTGTCAGGATCCTTCCCAACTGAGTTTGGTTCTGCGACAAGTCTACAAATTCTGAACGTACAAGACAACTTACTTGGCGGTCCAATACCAAGTGAGCTGGGGCTTCTTACAGGGCTAGACAACCTATGGACATCTTCCAACTCTTTCACTGGAAGCTTGCCCAGTGACCTTGGGATGTTGACAATGCTGCGTTTCGCACGGGTCGACCATAACCAGCTTTCTGGCCCATTCCCAACTGAACTTGGGCTGTTGACCAGACTGAGAACTTTTGGGGCAAATGACAACCACTTTTCTGGTTCTTTACCAACGGAGCTTTGGAAGTTGACAAGTTTGGCTGTGGCCAATCTACATGGTAACTCCCTACAAGGTTCTTTGTCCAGTGAGCTTGGTTCCCTCTCTCTCCTGAGGTTTCTCAGCCTCGAGAACAATGGCTTTTCCGGTTATCTTCCAAATGAAGTGGAACTTCTGGCCAACCTTACAAGTTTGAGCATTGGACACAACCAGTTTTCTGGTGCCCTGCCGTCAGAATTGGGAGTACTCCGGTTGCTGACAAATCTTGAACTAGGAAGCAACAACCTCTCTAGCAGCCTCCCTTCAGAACTTGGCAACCTTATGGCACTGCTAGAGTTGGACTTGACCAGTTTGCCAGGGCTGACGGGACCTCTTCCATCCGAGTTGTCCCTCCTGACTAACTTAGGGTATCTGAACCTTGCTGGAAGCCCAAGCCTGTCTGGAATTGTTCCTGAAAAACTGTGTGAGCTCTCCCAAGACACGTGTTTGTATGGTCCCAGTTTCCATGAGAAGAATTGTTCTCTCACTTTTGATTGTAGCGGCACGCTATGTGGCTGTGATTGCCCATGTTCTTGATAATCTTGGCAAAAGTCCAGTGTTTTTGAATGCTTAGAACTAGCTAGAGACTTGACTAGCTACCAGGTACATGTACCGATGCGAGGGGATGCCGTGGGCACAGCATTTTAAAATTTTATTATTGTTACGACCTCTACTCATCGCCGACGCTTTTCGACGCGATCTTTCTGCTACTTTCTTGCTTCCCACCGACCATGAGGAAGCTGCCGCCGGTGGTCGTCTTTCGTTGGTTTGTCCTATCTGCATCCTGCCTTGCCACCATGGCTTCTGCGAAGGCTATCCAAGTTACTATTTACAGTGATATTGCGTGACCCTGGTGAGATGGTGCCAAGCTAGTTGTGTGGCTCGCCTTGAGTTGTTTTTGCTGTCTCTCATGATTCTTATTGGCTTCGCTTGCCGTCGTTACTGCTCTGTATGTATGTGTTCGTTTGAATGAATGGATGAATGATGCAGGTGTTATGTCGACCAGAGACGCATGGCGATTGCCGTGGACGACTATAAAACGGCCCCCAAGGCGCTTCCCATTTCCATTGAATGGAAGCCCTTTATGATTGACCCCGGAACGAAAAAAGAAGGCGAAGAGTACTTGGCGTACAATCGACGACGTTGGGGTGGCGATGGATGGACCCATAGTATGAAACGGGAGGGACGTAAGATTGGCGCCAATTTTGACAATTGGAAGTGGTGGCCCAATACGTCAAAGGCACATCAGCTAGTGAGCTACTTTGCACAGAGGGGAGGCGACACGAGTCGCTCCAATCAAGCTCTCTTTGAGGCACTGTACGAAGAAGGCAAAAATTTGTCTTTGGTGGATACGTTGGTAGAAATTGCCGTGGAAAAGCTGGGCCTGCCTCCTTCGGAACGAGAAGATTTGAGAGCCTTTTTGGCGGACGACAAGGCTGCGGTGGAAGTGAAACAAGAGATTGATCAAGGTCGACGAAAGTATCGAATCTCGGGTGTTCCCTACTTTGTCATTGGAAAGAAGAACCGTGGCAAAGGAGAGAAACCCTATGGCTTTTCGGGAGCGCAACCACCGGAAACATTCCTTGAAATTTTCCAAGAACTCGAAGAGTAGGCAGGAGGGATGGTTGAGCATTCGAAAGAGATGAGACATGAGAAGCTACCAGATGGAGAGGTGATGGCTAAGATGGCACAAACGCTTTGAATGACCGTCCAACCAATCGATGGTTCCATCGTCTGGAAGAGATATGACGCGATAAGAGTCTGTTGTGCCAGCTTACCCTCCTTCTTGGTGGTTTCAATCGTTCGATTCATTCCGGATGCCGCTGATTGTCTTCCAATCCAGCAAAGATGCAAATGTTCGTTCCTTCCCATTTGACCTAAGTCAACAAGAGTACTAGTACAACAGAATCTCCTTTACCCTTATTAGCGTTAGCCGCTATATCCTGTAGTTTGTGGAAAACATCCTGTCTCTCATACTGTAGCATGTGTAGTCAGAACGTCGAGGACGCCAGTGAGCTGTTTGATCTCTGGACGACGAAGGAGCGTTATGCCCTCGTATCGGTAGCAAGTGTAGCAGCGAGATTAACACTCTCATGAATCGATCGTCAGCCGAAGAATTGTGTTCGTATCAATGAGTGAGAGTCGCAATCATGCCGTTTCCTCATGATTGAATTCATTCATTCCATTGTCCCATGTTTACAAAACTCCACAATGGGATCAATACCATCGCCCACATTGCACGTGGTGGCCACAAATTTCAGTTTGACATATTCCAATTGATCCAGATCCAATTCGGTTCCTGGTTTCCACCATTTATTGTTGGTATTGTTTTCATCATTGTCGTCATTATTAGCCGCCGCTTCGGCCATTTGTTGTACCTGCAGTAATTTTTCCAATTCGGTGCGGAGGGATATTTTGATGCGTCGTGGATTTTTGGAGGAACTCAAATCGGATTTGTGACAGGCTACCAAAATGGGCCATGGCTTTGAGGACGCATTGTCGTGGGCATATTGGAGTAAATCATACAAGAAATCGGCCGCTGTAGTCAACGGTTGTGTGGAATCGACGACCAAGATGAGACGCAATGAATTTTGTTGACTGGACTGGATCAATTCTCGAAAGAGCTCATCTTGCAATCCGGAATGTCCTGGATAGTCGAGGACACGCAGTGGCTTTTGGTTGTCTTCCTCTTTATTATTATTGATTGTTGGCAAAAGTGCGGCATTGGCTCGTAGACTCATGACGGTCGGCATGGATGCCTTGGAATGACACAAATGATACAAGATGCGTGTCTTGCCAGCCCACATGGGGCCGCAGAGAATCACCGTATCGCCATAGTCTTCTGCCGTCATGGCCATGTCCTTCAAATCGTCTTCCTCATCGTCGTATGCTTTACTGGTACTAGTACCGGTACCAACCAGTGACTGCAGCAGAGGCACCAGGACGACACACACCAAGAGACTCGTCAAGAGTGTAATGGAAGCTTCCGGTCCTACGTATGGTTCCAGTAGAGGATCCAACGTCGACATGGCTCTCACAACGGGAGGAGGAAGAAACGGCGAAACACCTTGCCGAAGCCGCGTTCGACCATCTTGCATCTTATTGGTGTTGCGGGGAGGAGGCGGTGGTTCTTCCTGTCGAATGATACGACGGATACCAGTGTCAAGGTCAATCTCTTCTTCTTCCATAGTCTAGTTTAGTCTAGTCCAGGAGCTCGTTGATAATTACAACACAACACAACACAATACCGGTAGGACCGATGGATCTGACTTTATGCTGCGGTTTAAAGTGCTGTGTGCTCTCGCCTTTCTCGCAAAATTTGCCCTCTCCTTTTAAACTGAGATCACCTTCTAAAGGGTAAGGGATGGAATAAGTACCGGTACAGTACGTGTTAACGCTCGGAGTCCCAGAATCTGGGAGTCATCACTCCCAAAATCTGGGAGACCCCACTCCCAAAATCTGGGAGACCCCACTCCCAGAATCTGGGAGTGGGGTCTCCCAGAACAGACACCCAGCGAACTCCATACTGGTACGACTGTACACTGTGCCTGTACCTCTACCATTTTAAAATACCTTTACTCTATTGACTCTATCAAGATGATGCTATCACTTCTACAGCGGCTACTCCTCTTAACAAAGGCTACTACTCGCCACCATGACAGGCTCCTCTTGTTTGCCTGCTAGGCTCGAAAGCAGCCTTTCGACAATCGGTCGATGACCATGACGCCTCCTCTTCTGCTGCTACAAAAGGAAGCGTACTACTGCCTCTATCGCTACTGCATCGCTACTGCAACAACAAGCGACTACTACGAGAACGACAAGCGACGCCAACAAGCTTCTTCGGTTCGGCGGATCGATCGATTCTGTCTGCTTCCACAGGGCGCGACCATGAGGATGAGGATGAGGATCGCTTCCTCTTCCACGGAACGACGACGCACGCCTCTACCGTTAATGAAACAACAAGCCACTACTACTAATGCAACAAGCGACGCCTCGACAGCCGTCTTCTTCGATTCCGGTTCAACAGAACCTCCTTTGTACATGATGGCAAACTCATCAACCATCAACCGACAATTCAAAGGCATCAATTTTCCTGGAAGACAGGATATTCAGGTAGATGCGGGAATAAAATAGAAATCTGACCTAATATTTACCAAACCTACCTGTAGACACTCCCAGATTCTGGGAGACCCCACTCCCAGAATCTGGGAGTGGGGTCTCCCAGATTTTGGGACTCCGAGCGTTAAAGTTGAGAAGACTTAAAGCCTCGGACAAATGGAGTCGTGGATAAATCAGAATCCTAATCAATTTTTGGAGCCACCCTAATCAATTTTTGGAGCCGCTCCAAAAATTGATTAGGGTGGCTCCAAAAAATGATTAGGATTCTGATTATCCACGAATCGAATCGAATCGAATCGAATCGTCATTCCTGCCAAATTAAAATGCCAAAACAAAAAGATGACGAGCAAAAGCCCGCAACACCGCAACACCCTCGAGGCCTCAGCTTTTTGGTTGGGAACTTCGCAATCGATCGTATTGTACGGTACGTACAAAAGAGCCACGATGGTGGTCAAAAGACCTGTCCAAGTCGTTGCGAAGCTGAAATGAGACAAAACGTATGCAGTCCAGGTGGATTTTCATTAGTTGAGGGTGATCTCGATGTGGATCTACGACCACACCTGACCACACCTGACCACATCTCCCACTCCCCCATCAACGGAGAACCATCTTGTATGATAATAGCGGACTCCAACTGCATCTCGTCGTCTTCGTTGTACAATAAGCACAAAATGTAACATAGAATTTAGGGCCGGTTCCCCGTTGTTTGTTCGTTTGTTTGTTGTCAAAGTCACTCTTCCTGCATGGTCACCGCCTGGTGTGTACGGAAGGCGATTAGGGATTTAGTAGTCGTCAAGCGAGCTAGGTCGTTCTCGTCCAAAGCAACCAAGGTAGAACGACGCGATCGCTTTGATGTAGAGGTTCACGGCAATACAGAGTATCGACTGGGATGCATGCTGTGTTGTTCTGATGCAGCAGTGTGAATGTGAGTGACATGTATTCCCCACTCATGTACCGGTAGAGACAAAAGCTCTTTTGCACACATGAGTTGTAAAAGTAGGTGCTCAAAGCTACAGCCTCTGGGGTGAGCTTAGTTGCATACTGGAACAAGTCCACTGCCTGGCTGGACTTCTGTTTTGCTTGAGTAGGCAAAGCCACGTTCTTCATCCTTTGGAGGCACTATCTGAAAGACATCCAGGAGGTCGAAGCGCTTGCTTCACATGAGACCTGAGGAGCTTGGCCCCTGCATATTTTGGCCGACTCGACTCGAAGGATGCATGTGTTGATCAACCACACGCCGGACCATGTTGTGGCAGATGCCTTTTTGGATTTCACAGCCGCATTCGCCTTTTCCACCGAGCCACTGTGTTTTCCCGTGGCGTAGTACTGGCCGCGCAGTCTGGGCATTCCAAGCAAATGCATGCATGCGATGGGAGCTTTCCAAAGCCAACACACAACTTTTTGCCTGGAAAACAACAAGTTTGCCAATAGCTACCGGTGGTTGGATTGGTACCGCGTCTGCCGCATTTGTCATGCTCTCCGAGCTTTCACTCTTGGTGGAACAGGATTCCGGCGGAGTGGACCGAGGAAGTGATTGTCACTCCATTACAAGCTCCAAAATTCTGACCCTGCAGCCTGTCCGTTTGGACGCTCCTTGTCCGCTTGGACGCTCCAAATAGTATGTACGTTTCGGCGCGATCTGTTCGTTTCGGCGCGATTTGATGTTCGTTTCGGCGCGATCTGTTCGTTTCGGCGCGATTTGATGTTCGTTTCGGCGCGATTTGATGTTCGTTTCAGCGCGATCTGATGTTCGTTTCGGCGCGATCTGTTCGGACGCTCCATCTGAAGGCTTGGATCAGAGGACGGATCAGCTCATTGGTAGCTAATGGGGGGTACTTACGACATCCCAACAAAGTGGGATTGGATGTCGAGTATTCCGTGTTTGCCAGCGATGGATAGAACTTGGTGGGGAATCAACTGCAGCTGGCTCTTGTTCCAGGAGGAGATAACAACAGCAGCAACAGCAACAAGGCGTATTGCCATACGGGGGGCAATGACGATTCCGTCCAATGCCACGGCCTGATACACTTCAATTCCGTAGGCGAAGAACGCATAGTGTACTGGTTGAAGCGTTTGATGCATTAAAGTCATCTTTGACGCTGAAAAAATGCCACAACGGAGGCCATGCAGATTATCGTGGCCGATATCAAAAGGGGAACGATCCGGAAGGAAAACTTGAAGAAAGACAGAAAATAGGCAAAATGTCGTAAAGGCAATGCTTGCACGTCGTGAGGCGAGGTGAAGTGAAGTTAGTACGTGTTTCCAGTTCGAGAGTTACCTTCGTCCTTTCATTTCAGGCTCCTACACTAGTCGTACGATCCAGGAGAAAGAGATGAGGGGGAGAAAGTATCTGGGTCTTCCTTTAGCCTGCAGAATTTGATTACCGTAGACACCCGCTCCTGTTCATTGGTACTGTAGTCTGTGAGGGGCGTTGTTTGATGATGAGATGGGTCGTGCGCGTCGTATTCAGGTGTGATGTAATGTATGTGATCCACAAAAGCAATACGATGTACTTATTATCTATTTGCGAAATCAGGGGACCAAGACTTTCTGGTTTTTACGGTACTCCAGGGATCCATGCATCATGGCCAAAACATTCATTGGCAATGAAATCTCAACATGCACTTGGTTGGCGACTCGGCCCACACCATGTGCAACTCGGGTTGGCTGGGTTCATCATCCAGTGCCGCACTGCAGCCGGGAGCATTGGGTACTACCATACTACCTGGCTGGCATCGTACAGTAGCTAGTAGTGCGTACTGTAGAGATCCAAATCAATACAGTAAAACTGAATTCTTGGTTGGACGCCATCTGCATGTGGAGAGAACCTAACCTGACGATTTACGTATTAGCCCTCTTTGTGGATGTGCCTTGCCTGCACGATCCTGGTGATGAGGAAGTGTCTGGTCCTGTGGTTTCAAGGAGCGAACCGGGCAAGATCCCGGTAGACACCCGCCATTTGTGCTGTATCTAGCTAGCTAGCTGCAGAAAGGAGAAGAGTCTTCAAGAAAAATTGTGTTTTATCTCTAATGTACTAAATGGTTATCAATGGTTAAAATCCTAGCATGTACTGTTACAAAATTGTTGTGTCGTCTTCCTCGTCTACTGTTCTTTGGTGTGTATGTGTATGTCATCCATCGTCATCTCACTACTTGGAGGATCACCCAGAAAACTCCTTGAGTCCGGCTCGTCTCGTGGAAGTTCCACTTTTGAATCCTCGTACGGTCGTAGCCAACACTCCTCGTTGGAGCGGCGAGGGCGGTGCCGAAGGGGACTTTAAGTATCCGGCCAAATGCGGGACATATTCGTACGCTCGATTGTCAATGGTGTCGCGCACCTTGATGTACTTGGGTTTAAAATACGTCGCATGACTGCGCCGCGACGATTGAATGGCCAAATCTCGAATGACGGAAACAGCCGCAGGGGGTGCCAAGACGGATGCAAAGACACCGCATGCTCCCAGCACGACAATGGCAGCACAGTGCGATGCCAATCCACTCGTCGTCAAATGTCCAGGATCCGTCGATTTGATGGCGAACCCCACTGGACCATGATCGAGAAAGGACTGATTGACATGTCCATCTTTCAAAGGTTGTGTCGAGTCTGTGTGATAATGTTGATTGTAATAGTACTCGTAGACACAATCCCATCCGACCCACGTGCCGCGCCATACCAAAACACACGACATGGCAATGGTGTAAAGGGCTCCAAAACGGGCCGCTGGCTTGAAGAGGCGAGACTGGACCATCATGGCGCGATAGACAATGCCTTGCGATGCGGCCATGCCGGCCGTACCCAAAATCAAACTGGCCGCGGCACTCTTGTTGGCATCTTCCGGATACAATTGATCATCGAGAACATACCACGCGCCTCGCCAGAAACTGGCCGCGCCCATGCCAACACCGACATGAGTCAACATCTTCTTGGTACAACCCAACGCTTGAAAGGAAGGAGACATTGTTGTTTCTTTACAAAGAAGTATAGCTACTAAAAGTGTGATGGGTGATGGGTGGGTGATGGGTCAACTGGTTGAAGAAACAAAGTGATGGGTAGAATGACAATGAGAAATGATCTTGAGGGTGACAAAAGGTTCAGCACTTCTTGGATTGAGAAATCGTCAAACTGGCAAACCGCCAACTCCAACTTTTGTGCTGACGATGGTCTGAATGTTTGTTTGATGTATGGATCTACCGTATCTGCAACGGATCTCTGCTACTATTGGCTCTCTTGCTTACAGTTGGCTTGCCTTGCCTCTCCAACCACGACGGGAACAAGCAAAGCAATTGGCCACGCATTGTTCTGAGAATTTGTTGCTTCCGAGAATTGGTTCCGACTTTATTGCATTCTGGTTGGTCCACCTCGCTTTCGGAATTCTACACGTCAGCATCAACTGTGCTGGCTAAGTAGGAGTCGTACTCGTGGGTTTGGGTTGGGGAAGATTCGATTGAAGATTCGATTCGATTCAATTCGAGTCGAGTGACGAGTCGAGTCACTTCGCTTCCTTGAGCAGTCATTCAGTCTTTTACTTAAATCTTTCAATCGTGTTTGACGCTCGCATTCCGCAGCTCGACCTGCGCAGCCTCGATCGAAGGCCTCCGCAACAGCCTCCGCAACAGCAGCCACCGAACCCTCCCAACACGGCGACCAACACCATCAAAGAGCAACCAAACAACACCCAAGCACTCCAAGAGGGCCAGGAAGGGTCTTGTTAGGTGTGTTGGCGCGATAGAGCATGAAATCAGTGCTCCTCAGTGGCTCAGTCTCGTCTCATCATCAGTCATTTTTCATCTGGCAGAATCCGTCATCCCAAACATCTGGCAGAATCTGTCATCCCAATTTGGATGTCACCATGATGAGCTCACTTTTTTGTTCAACCGGATTGCTAGAGTTGCATACCCAACCGAACAAGGAAGACTTTCGCGATTGTTGATAAGCCTAGGCCAGATCAACCCCCCAGACCTTATTCAAGTCTACTTTTACCTTTTCTATCAATCTTCTATTCAATACCTATCAATTGCAAAATGAAGTTCTCTTCTTCTATCATCAAGCTGCTCTCGTGGTCCTGGACCACCTACAACAACAACAGCAGCAACACAATGAAGACCCCCGTTCTCCAGGTCGCCAAGGAGATGATGGGCAACAACGACAACAAGGACGTTCCTGCAGCAGAGGAAGTCCCAACGTTCCAACTGGATGAGTTGGACAAGACACTCGTCGAAACCGCGGCACTGTTGCACACAGATGAAACCAATCCTGATGTGGAGTTCCAGCAGCACGGTCGCTTTCTAGGTGCCTACTGTTGGGGATTCGCGATTAGGGATTCAACCTGTACCTCTGTACTAGAATTTGATGCCAGTAGAAAAAGCCAAGGAACCCACTTTTTCAGTAGTATCTCAATAGCAAGTAAACTAGAGAGCTTAGAGCAACTAACATACTACTGAAAAAGCGGTCTACTATCGAAGCGAAGAGGAGCCTATCGAGTCAACGGTAGCAGGAAGATCGGACGACCGAGGATCGTCGTGCCGAAGAAGCAAGGATCGATAGAAGACCAAGCCTGTCGTTTATCGACAGCAACGACGCAATCGGCCGACGCCGAACGCGAGTACAAGTGCAAGCCTGTTGTTCGACGTTCGAACGACAGCAACAGCGACGACGCAAGAGATCCGAGGACGGATAGCGACGCCGCAACAAGAGAAGAAGCCTGTCGAACGAACGACAGCAACGAGTGAAGATCCGAGGACGGATCGAGAGGAGACTGCATCCAAGCCGACGAAGAGTTTCGACGGCAGCCGACGACGACGCGAGTATCGGTCGACGACGCAGCAGCAAGAGTTTCATCGGCAGAATCCACAAGGATTGCCGAGAGCCGACAGCATCCAGCCGGAACTGTCAGAGCCAACAACAAGCGCGAAAGCCATAGTGCCAGCGCAGGGACCAAGGACGGGTACCCAACCAAGGAAACAACCAGCAAGGAAACGGGTTCGGAACGGCAGCATACGCACGAAGTGTGAAGCAATAGCGCCAGACCTTGCAAGATCCTTAGCAATAGTTTTAACACTCCCTAGCCAGGAGTATAATTTGAAGTTTATCGCCCCATAGCCATAAGACGAATAAGTAGTCGGACGAGAACTTAAAATAAAGAGCTAGCCAAATAAAAAAGAAAGAATTGAAATAGTCCACCTACCGTAGCATAGACAATGAGCGGTAGAGGTAAAGGACGAGGTGGCCGAGGAGGATCTTTTTTTTTTT